CTGTATATGATTATAGCTACCATATCAAGAGAAAAAGGGTCTGGCAAGGAATATACCTTTAAATCTGCATGTACTTATTATATTGTGAATCCATTGAACATCATGGGTATAGGTAGTGAGGTAGCACTGAAAAATGTACCCGCTTCTGAACAAATTGAAATTACTTGTTTCTTATGTATTTTTATGTGATACTTCAGAAAATTTTTGTCTGACGCGCCATATCCGGGGCGAAAGTTGTCAAAATTGGGTTTTTGACCCTAAAAAGGAAAATTACAGGGGGTACATTAACATCATTGAATAATTCATTCAGTTAGTCTTCAATCATCATAATGATTTTATTGAGAGTTGATGAGATCATTTTAAGGTAGTATGCAAACTTTCAATGGTCTGTCACTCGTGGTTGCCATGGAAACCACACTTTTTGCTGAGAAAATCCTTAATTTTGGTAAAACCTGTACCTGTACATAATATAGAATGTGGATTATTTTTCAAATCAACAGATATCAGAACATTTTAGCACTCTAAAAATCACCAGGGCTGTCCAAACATTTGTTTAAAGAGAAAGAATATTGCAATTTATATGACTGGTAAGTGTCAAAGACCATACAATTACATAAGTGGTCAAAAGTGGGCGTCGCCCTCATAATAGTAGTTGATTGCCATTCTCTATAAATACAGAGTTTTACTTGACTTTTGAGATACATTTATATTGAATTTCTTTGGTTATACTTAATATCAAGCATTTTTACATCTAAGTGTTATAGTTATTGCATGGGGATACAGGGGGGAGGGGGGGGGGGGGGGTAGTAACAGAATTGGGAGGGGGCAGAGCTTATCAGCCTTAAGTGTAAATCTCATCTACATGGTTCTAGATTTCATAGGGTACAGCTTCTGGGTCTTATTATATTCATCTCAATATATAAGATATAAGAATTCTGCATGATTGGTAAGTGTCAAAGACCATAGAATTACACATGTGATCAAAAGTGGGCGTCGCCCTAATCATAGTATATGGTTCATTCTCTATAAATACAGAGTTTAACTTGACTTTTGAAGTACATTTACTTAAAAACATCTTTGATTTATACTTAATGTCAAGCATTTCTTGACAGTTATATATGTACATCTAATTGTAATAGTTATTGTCTGGGGGTGGAGGAGGGGGGGGGGAGAGTAACAGAATTGGAAATGGGCAGAGCTAATAAGCCTTAAATGTAAATCTCATTTACCAGTATTTAGTTCTTTTCAAGGGGTGCATCTTCTGGGTTTTCTTCACTTCTGGGTCTTCTTCATCTCAATATATGGGATATTCCAATTTACATGATTGGTAAGTGTCAAAGACCATACAATTACATAAGTGATCAAAAGTGGGTGTTGCTCTAACAATAGTATATAATTCATTCTCTATGAATATGGAGTTTAACTTGACTTTAAGATTTATTTTTTAAATTAAAACTTCTTTGATTACATTTAGTATTGTAATATTTATTCCCTGTGGGGGGGGGCAAGGGGGGTAGTAGCAGAAATGGAAGGGGGCAGAGCCAATGGCCAGTCAGTCTTAAGTATTAATATCATAGTCTGATCATTTTCATTCACCTCCCGATGTTAATATATTAACAATATCATGTGGGAGAATATACCACTACACTTGCAGATTTGAGAGTCATTCAGTTGAGTGTATCTATATGGCGCTCCACCTTTGCCTTTTAAAAAGGTGCTATTGCTATTGCCCCTTCTGCATGGCACTTCATCTGTGAATGTGTGAAGTGCTAGGAAGGCTGCATATATGTCAGGGTCTATATTGGAGGAAATACCACTGACATCAGTCTTCATTTGTTTCCAACTCAAATATCCAGCAGCACACTTTGCTGTATTTTGCTTCTTGTTTTCATCATCATACAAGAACTAATTCCAATCTTTAGGGACTTGTGTTTTTCTACCTCAAATAGGTCAAGGTGTCCCTCCCCTCTTTCAGGTTCCTTTATAGAAATTTTGATGTAATTATCACATACAAAAACGAATCAATCTGCTATTGTAGAATCTTGAAACAGTCTCCGCCAGATCCAGAAACAAAACTACCTTTCAAGTTGAATTATGGTTTGGGATAGTTGGGGTTTGTTTTCCTTATGACTTGTATACATTTAGAAGTTTTCTTTTTCTTGCTGGGTTCTATTACAAATTTTGGTCCTTTCCCTTTGGCACTTGTGGGTACATGTTCATGCATAGGGATGTGTTTCTCTGTTCTTGCAAGAAATCCAGTCAGTGTTCCTAGAGCCCAAGGCACAGGGCTCAATAGGAACTGCAGGAGACATTCTAGGCTAATTTTATGTTCTTAAGCAAGATCGAAGCTGTTCAAAGATGTTTCATTCAGAATGTATTTGTACAAGCTTGTTCTGAGTACTTTTTTACTGTCACTGTCACTGCTGTAGTTTGCTGCTATAGTTTTCAATTTCATATGTTTTATTAGATCATGAAATCTTTTTTTGTGCGGTTTATGTCATCTTATGTCTTCTTCTATACTTGATATTTGTGCCTTTCCAAGGTCGTTATGGGTGTCACACTCATCTCATCTCTAGATAATTTTCCTAAGTTGGTCTAATGAATGACTGTCTGATTGTTGTAACCATCTCATCCATATAAAGCACTTATTGTCTGTATGGCCCATATTGCAAATCCTCGTAGTGAACCACCAGATGGACTTGAATGGAAACTAAATGACTCCATATCTTTCCAGTGGGTATTGACTGATATTCTCATACAAGAGATTGGTGATAAAGCAACACCAGGAGATGAATCAGAAAACCCCAGAAGATGTAACTTATGAAATCCGGAATTAAAAAGATGAGATTTATACTTAAAGGCAGATTAGATCTACACATTCTAATTCTGTTACTACTCACCCCTGCCCAAATGTAAAAACTATAATACTTACACAGATGTATTTACCAGAAATGCTTGACATAAATTATAATAACAGCAGTTCAGTATAACTATGAATGCATCTCAAAAGTCAAGTTCAATTTTGTATTTATACAAAGAACCAATCATCTACTATTGTTAGGGTGACACTCCTTTTGATCGTTTATAAATATGTAATTGTATGGTGTTTGACAAATCCTGTAAATTCTAATATCCCATATATTGAGATGAATATGAAGAAGACCCAGACGAGGTGCCCCATGAAATCCAGAACTATGCAGATGAGATTTATACTTAAGGCTGATTACCTCTGCCCCCTCCCTATTCTTTTACTACTCTCCCCCATCCTCCCCCAGGCAAGAACTATTACAATTAGATGTGCATTACTAACCAGAAATGCTTGAAATTAAGTATAATCAAAGAAGTTGTAATGTGAATGTATCTCAAAAGTCAACTTAGACTCTGTATTTATAGAGAGAGAATCTATAAGGGCGACGCCCACTTTTGATCACTTGAGTAATTCTATGGTCTTTATACTTACCAATCATGCAGAATTATAATATCCTATAGATTCAGATGAATGTGAAGAAGACCCAGAAGATGAACCCTATGAAATCCAGAACTATGTAGATGAGATTTATACTTAAGGGTGATTAGCTTTGCCCTCTTCCAATTCTGTTACCCCCCCCCCCCATCTACCCCCTCCCCAATGCAATAAGTATAACACTTACATGTACATTATTTACCAAAAATGCTTCATATTTAGTATAACCAAAGAACATCATTATAAATGTATCTCAAAAGTCAAGTAAAACTCTGTATTTTTAGAGAATGGCAATCATCTACTATGATAAGGGCGACGCCCACTTTTGATCACTTATGTAATTGTATGGTCTTTGACACTCCCCAGCTATGTTAATTGCAATATCCTTTATATTTAAATAAAAGTTTGAACTGCCCTTGTAATTTTGAAAATGCTAAAATGTTCTGATATCTGTTGATTTGAAAAATAATCCACATTCTATATTATGTACAGGTACAGGTTTTACCAAAATTAAGGATTTTCTCAGCAAAAATTGTGGTTTCCATGACAACCACAAGTGACAGACCATTGAAACTTTGCATACTACCTAAAAATGATCTCATCAACTCTCGATAAAATTATTATGATGATTGAAGACGAACTGAATGAATTATTCAATGATGATAATGTACCCCCTGTAATTTTCCTTTTTAGGGTCAAAAACCCAATTTTGACAACTTTCGCCCCGGATACGGCGCATCAGACAAAAATTTTCTGAAGTATCACATAAAAATACATAAGAAACAAGTAATTTCAATTTGTTCAGAAGCGGGTACATTTTTCGGTGCTACCTCACTAACTAGTAGCATTCACTCTCAGGTCTCACTGTGAGTTGCTGGAGGTATCATGAATTTGTTAAGGGCTCTTGTTAAATCTGCATGGACTTATTATATTGTGAATCCATTGAACATCATGGGTAGCATTCACTCTCAGATCTCACTGTGAGTTGCTGGAGGCATCATGAATTTGTTAAGGGCTTTTACAAATAATGCACAAAAAAGCATTTTGTAAGCTGATTTTGTCAGGGTTCACCCCCCCCCCCCCCTTCTCCATATAATGTTTGTAACGCTGATTTGATGTTCACATGAATTATTCATACAATGTCATGTTCATGTTTATTTTTACTTTGATATTTTTTTATATTTCCACTCTGTTTCATGATTTGATATACAGGGTGGGGTAGAAATAGGAACCTCCTCATCTCATTAAAAATTCTTAATAGAAAGTTACAAATTACCATTACTATGTTGACCTAGTATAATTTACTGTAAAAAATCTATTCATAATTTATTCAATAATAACTTACATTAAGAGCACTTGTATACTCGCCCTAACATAGACATCTAGATATATTCTACAATTACAGTGAAACCTGTATATCAGAACACCTCTCTATACCGAACACCTCTCAGTGTGAACACATTTTCTCAGTCCCAATTTTGTTATCTCCCATTGACTTAATATTATATATTTATGAAACCTGCTGATAAAAAACTCTGTCCCTGTGTTGTTCTGATTAGACTGGTTTTACTGTATGTCGGGAGGAGATATAGAGTGGCTCTAAGACTTGATGTAATGTCTTGGTCACATTTGCTGCGATTTATCGGCCACCACCCGGTCAATTGAGAATTTTGTTCAAAATTGAACACATTTCTGAACAAAATACTCAATCGGCCGGGCGCTGTAGTGAAAATCGGAGCGAATGTGACCAAGGCATTAGGCTAAGAAATTAATTGGACTGTAAAGTCCAAAGTCTATAATGTAAGTTATTCCATGACTGCATTTAATCCAATTTTCAGTACAAGCGCCCAGCTGCCGTGATGAATATTTTGATCAAAATTGCATTCAGTTTTTATGCAAAATACTCATCGGCCAGGATTCATTGTTGAAGATTGGAGTAAATGTAACCGTGGCATTACAGGTTGCTACTGCTTATTTCTTGGTATGATTCTAGTTCGGTTAAAGCTGATGAGCAACATTAAGGTTCACATAATGTTTTAAAAAACAGCTCCATAATAGCTGTGTAATAGCATTCTGTATAATGAATGCCATCAAGAAGGCTTCCACTACTTTTACTGAGTTCATAGACACTGTAGAAGGGATAGAACAACTTTGGGTCAGACTTGAAATAATCAAGAACAACATCTCGTGCCCAATTTCCATACCATTTGTAAATGTTCTCATCAAAGTATCTTGCCAGCCAACCCATTCCAGTAGCATAAGGTGGTTCAAACCAAAAAATCTTTGTATTTTTGTGAACGGCTGATTTTAATACTTTTAAAAACCAATCAACATCTCGCTGAAGATCAGTTTTGTCCCTTCTTAGCAGCTCGTGACTGTTTCCAATTATGATTATTACGGTGGGGTAGTGTGGTTGTGTGTATAGATACTCATTAAATATGAACTGTTGAGTCGTTAGAGCATGACCACAGAGGATACCCTTATTCAGATAAGGGACCTGTCTAAAGTTGCAAGAGCGTGGGTATCCAATTCTAAATGTTGTCATTTCAGTGTCCATGTAGTATTCCATTGCAATAAATTCAAAATCCAATATTACAATTTCAGACGAATGAGTGAGACATTTATATAACATTGAACTACATGTATAACAGTCTCTTTCCATCATATACATTCTTTTCACATCTTTCCAGTATTGAGCAGTCGGTAATTTATTGTTGGCTTCTCGTTTTATCAACTCACAGGAGAAAAACCTTCTTAGATATTTTGCCGTGTAATTAGCATATCTGGCCCCGTTTGAATCCCCTAACATCAAGATTTTCCTAATTTGATGTTCACGGAAACATGTTTTTAAATCTGGGTCTTTCGAAGAAAATCTACAACCCTCTGGTGTCCAGGAGGTATTTTCCCATGATCCTTTACTGTACAACTCATCCTCTGTCCTTGTAAAATCTTGTAGAAATTTCAAATTACATTTTCTATTTGTTGTGTCTGCTTGTTTCTGGTAACGCCTTGTAGTATTTGATAAATATATCTCAGTATTTACAGTTTCATTATTTTCTGTCTTTACATATTCTAGCGTTTTACTAGAAACATCGATATGACTGGTAATTTGGAAAAGCATCAAAGCATTTAATGATAATAGTAATACAATGACTATAAATCCAAAAAGTTTCCAATTTAATATTTTAGTTATCATCTTGATGTGTTAATTTTTAATACTCATTTGGTGCCTCATGTCCTATATACTGGAAATGGCAGGTGAAATCTTAAATAATTCCCACATTATCTTTATTACTTATAATTCACCCTATGCAGACAGAGCCTGTGGGAAATATTGGGTGCGGCGCAAATGAGCGGAGGGTGCGGAGCTAACGGTCATTTTTGAATTTAAAATTGGGATACATGTATTTCTGAAACTAAGCCGTTTTGGGACTTCAAATATACCAAGATATGTGTATTTGACACCAAATATCAATAAAATTGTGAAAATAGTAGTGCAATTCATTTTATAGCGACGCAGTATGCCTTAAACATTTCCCAGACCTATATATTTTGAGACTATCCTTTTAATACTGCGTCCCCAGCATTCATAAAAAATGGTGTTCAAGATACACTACCCATGCAAATTATTTTTGCATCTTGGAAGCCAGGCAGTATCTGTGTGATTTTATAAAAATTCGGAAATGTTCTTCAGATATGAGCCCCCTCTAAATATTGGGTGCGGAGGTATGTTTATGGAGCTCCTCCGCACCCAATATTTAGAGGGGGCTCATATCTGAAAAACATTTCCGAATTTTTATAAAATCACACATATACTGCCTGGCTTCCAAGATGCAAAAATAATTTGTATAGATAGTGTACCTTGAACACCATTTTTTATGAATGCTGGGGACTCAGTATTAAAAGGATAATTTCAAAATATATAGGTCTGGGAAAGGTTTAAGGCACACTGCGTCGCTATAGAATGAATTGCGCTACTATTTTCACAATTGTATTGATATTTGGTGTCAAATACACATATCTTGGTATATTTGAAGTCCCAAAACAGCTTAGTTTCAGAAATATCCCAAATTTAAATTCAAAAATGACTGTTAGCTCCGCACCCTCCGCTCATTTGCTCCGCACCCAATATTTCCCACAGGCTCTGTCTGCATAGGGTGTACTTGAAAGTAAATAGTTGGTCCAATACATATATATCACTGATTAATCTTCAGCAGCTGTATGTACATGTATCCTTTGCTTATGTTTTAGCCTATGATTATTAGAGTGTGACAATTGTGTTAATAATGCTGGCCCCATACCAGCATTTTCATGTTTGTCAATCTCACTTTATTCTCCATCAATGATACCAAAAATAAGCAATCAAAAGATCACAGTGTAGTATCATATAAAAATACATTAATATGTGCACTCAAACGATTTGTATATTTTGTGTTTGCTTGTGTTTGACCGCTATAAGACCTTTCTACAATGTCACTGAATGGGCGGGGCAAGCTGTCAATCATTATAGCAGACTTTTTGCAATATGTACACTGAAAAAGCACTTGATAAATAAAACACACACATGAAAGACTTGTCACAAAATGTTCATTATACAAAATTGAGTTATATTTGTTTACTATACAAAATGAAGTTACATTTCATATTAATCTTTTCTTCATAATCAACAAGTCCCTAATACCTGTATTTTTTTTATTTCAAAACAATCCATTCAGATCACCTATCAGATGCAAATAAGTCTGATTGATTGAAGTTTTCTTCTCCGATAATTCAAGGTATTTGTTACCTTCATAAGTGAACGCACACATATGAGAATACTGCCCTTAATAGTCTTATAAAGGTTAAGAGGTTGTCCATTCAAAGTTCAACTAAGTTCACCAGCAAGCTAGCTAACATATGATTTACTACTGTATTCCCTTTCACTTTTCTTGGTGTATATTTTAGCAATTTAAATAAAACTAATAAGAAGTCATTTATTTATTATGTCATAAGTTAAAGAAACATTCAGATAAAATTTGCCATGTAAAATATTCTTCCATGGTCGCCCATTGTCCCAGACCCATTGGTCCTAATCCCAATCATCTGAATCCCATTGGTCTGAATCCCACCTAGTTAATACTTAATTTTAATGAGTTGTTGTTGTTTTAATATCAAGATAAATATGCGAGAAATGTGTGAACATGATTTAAAACATCACATTCATCTTGATGACTATGTGATTATTGAATAAAATCGATTCCCTATTTTCTGTTCTTGTTTGAGTGAAAAACCCATTGAAGCAAAAATATCAGATAAAACCCACCATTTTGAATATTATGGGGATGATTTATTTTTGGATGTCTTGAAAAGGTCATAAGGCATTTTATTTTTAAATATGTCATATGAACAAATAGTTTTTCTATATCCTAACTTGAGCATTGATGAGTTAGATAACTACCCATGAAGCCATGTCCGTACTATGATCAGGTTATTGAATTATACAGGGTGTCCATGAAGTCTATTTACAATTATGAAACAATTTCTGTGCAGTGAAAGATTTTAATTCCATTTCACACAGCTTTATATGACTTGAAGACACCATTTGAAGGTTCAATTGTAAATCAACTCATTTGCTTGTTTACAGATTTTTTAAGAATGTTCAACAATTCGAATTTAAATGTTAAAGTAAGATATGTTTGTAGTTATTACCCAATGTAAAATTCACTGGAAATTATCCTATTCACTGGGTCATCATTTATGCCACACTCGGAAGAGACACATTTGTGTTGACTTTACTTCTCCTTCAAATTTCATTAAAAGGTCATCAGTTGTTTTCCCCTTTCATTTCCTTATTATCTGTTTGAAGAAGTCTGTTGTTGAAACAAACTTTTGGGAGTTTTATAGTTTTTGATTCACTTCATGAAATTGCCATTTATATATTTCAACCATGATTTGTTGTTATCATTATTGCAACCTTTATACATTATTGCAGTCAGATGTAATCATTTTCTTACAATTTGTGAAGTTACCAGTTAACTAAATGCATCAATAAATCATCATGTAATAAGAACCAATGAATTAGGCTCATAAAAAATTCTTGAATTTCCTGGTAATTTGATTCATGAAATGTGCTCATTTTTCTGCATTGTAATTATTGTACATTAATTTTTCTGCATTGTAATTATTGTACATTTATTTCTCTGCATTGTAATTATTGTACATTTATTTTTCTACATTGTAATTATTTTACATTTATTTTTCGTTGTCTTTTCAGGCGGATGTGATATTCTTGGATTGTGGCCATGTGTGTTGCTGTACTACATGTTCTAAGCCTCTAAAGATATGTCCCATCTGTCGTGCTGATATAAGACAACTTATACATCTTGCAGCTGGATCTGTACTAGATTTAACATAGAACGTGAGGATTAACATAGAACGTGAGGATTAACCTGGAACTGAGGATCAACATAGGGTATGAGGGTTGATATAGTACATGGAAATTGACATGGAACATGAGGTTGAACATAGAACATGAGGATTAATATTGAACATAGAACTTGAGGATTAATATTGAACATAGAACATGAGGATTAACATAGAACGTGAGGATTAACATAGAACGTGAGGATTAACATAGAACGTGAGGATTAACATAGAACGTGAGGATTAACCTTGAACTGAGGATCAACATAGGGTATGAGGATTGATATAGTACATGGAAATTGACATGGAACATGAGGTTGAACATAGAACTTGAGGATTAATATTGAACAAAGAACATGAGGATTAATATTGAACACGAGGATTAATATTGAACACAAGGATTAATATTGAACACAAGGATTAACATTGAACATGAAGGTGAACATAGAACTTGAGGATTAATATTGAACATAGAACATGAGGATTAATATTGAACACGAGGATTAATATTGAACACAAGGATTAACATTGAACATGAAGGTGAACATAGAACTTGAGGATTAATATTGAACATAGAACATGAGGATTAATATTGAACACGAGGATTAATATTGAACACAAGGATTAATATTGAACACAAGGATTAACATTGAACATGAAGGTGAACATAGAACTTGAGGATTAATATTGAACGTAGAACATGAGGATTAATATTGAATGCAAGGATTAATATTGAACACAAGGATTAATATTGAACATGAAGGTGAACATAGAACTTGAGGATTAATATTGAACATAGAACATGAGGATTAATATTGAACACGAGGATTAATATTGAACACAAGGATTAATATTGAACAGAAGGATTAACATTGAACATGAAGGTGAACATAGAACTTGAGGGTTAATATTGAACATAGAACATGAGGATTAATATTGAACACGAGGATTAACATTGAACATGAAGGTGAACATAGAACTCGAGGATTAACAAAGAACATGAAGGTGAAATTTAGAACACAGGGATTAACATAGAACTTGAGGATTAATGTAGCGATTAACATTGAACACAAGGATTGACATTGGATGCTAGGATCTAACATAGAATACCATGGATTCTATATAAAACATAAATTAACATTGTACAGGATGGATCTTATATAAAACTGGTAAAGAACCCAGTGAATATCCATGGATTGAACATTAAACATGGGGATTACATAGAACCTTGCAATGATGAGCATTCAACACCATTGATGAACATCGGACTGTTGGTATGAAACCAATGCCTGAACTACTATGGCTATAAATGATTAGCCTCAATTACTCACATGCGAGTAGGTGGTTACCGGTTTCGCCACCAGGTGGCTGAATCGGGGGAAATAACATGGCAGGGTATTACAAACTTGAATATTCGTCAGCTAAAGTGGTTCACTTTTCATATTACCCTTATGTATCTGATAGTTATACAAATTAAAATATGTCCAGTAATGCCTTGGTCACATTTGCTCTGATTTTCACTACGGCGCCCGGCCAATTGAGTATTTTGTTCAGAAATGTATTCAATTTTGAACAAAATACTCAATTGGCCAGGCGCCGGTCGATGAATCGCAGCATATGTGACCAAGGCATAAAAGAAATTAGTATCTGCCCAACACAAGAAAAGATATTTCACTTTTTGTGATTTTACAACATGGGGTCTGTGGGTCTAAAGTCACATTTTCAAAGAAGATAAAATTTTCTAAGTTGATAAGCTCTATTCATAACCACATTTCTCAATGTTATTTTACATGCAGATTCCAAATATGACATCAGTTTTGACAAAATTTTGAATGGCGTAAATCAAGATTATTTCTATCGCATCTACTGTAGTCTATTAAGGCACAACCAAAACATACCTCCATGTATTTGATCATGCAAAGTAGTAGAAGTAGAATGTTGGGGAAGTATATAAAACGTTATCTGTTTAACTAAATTTAAAATGATACCTTAACATGAAGAACAAATTACTCTTAAGATCACACATGCCCCCTTTCACCAATGATCAGACATTCTCTAGTTTGTGTTTTTAACATCACGATATTTTGAAATATGTATTGCTTAATTATTCCTTATTAGTTATTACACATTTGAATGTTTAATGAAATATGTCTAAAGGAAATTTATTTATTTATATATGCTTTCTGAGCTCTCTGATTGGTTAGTTTACACGAGCTCCGATTTGTCCCCAGTCAAATTAGAACTCTGATTGGTTGTTCCAATTGAGGCCAGAGTTGCATCTTTCTCAAAATATTTAATTAACATTTTGGTATATATGTATGTATATAAATTATTATACAGAGTAACTGAATGTACATAAAATTTGTAATAAAATAACAGTTTGTATTATATATAGAAATAAGTAATCGCAGATTTTTACCAGCTTCTACGTACATTGAGATATAACTAGAAGCTTTCTTTGATTGTACAATTTTACCTTCAATGTATAATGCAATGCATGTATTCTACATTTGTGTATGTATTATTAATCATATATGGTAAGATACTGTTTTACCTAAATTAACATAAATTTCACTGGCGGATCCAGCGGGGGACAGCATCTTTTCCATTCAATCGAGGTTGGGCCATGCAGCCGAAGGTAAGTCATACAACCGAAGGTAAGGCATACAACCGAATTTCGCTGATTCAATCTGACGGAGAATGCCGAGCCTTTTTGACCAATAAGAGACGTCCTCTTCACATTCGTGGTACCTTCGGCCAACTTCGTTTGCAAAGAAAATCTTCGGCAATCTCCGGCTTTTCTTGAGGTATCTTCGGTTGCAAGCCAAAAGTTGACACCCGATCCAGGGGGCCCCTGGGTGGGCCCAGAAAATTTTTTAGGGCCCCAAAAGTTTTGTAGGGAAACTTGGCTTTTTTAAGTCAAGTTATAAAAAATGGGCCTTTGATTTTCAAAATTTGGACCCAATCATTGGTTTTAGGGCCTCGGGATACTGACCTGAAATGTGCCTCCCCTTGCTAGCTTCTGGATCCACCAGTGCATTTAGTTTGGTAGCTCATAAAGTGAGAAGACTTTTGGACCTGTTTATATGACATCAAACCAATCATCTACTTGTAATATTTAAAGATGTACATGATGTATGTCATCCCAATTATAAAATTCCCACAACTTTAATATTGTTTAAAACATTGATTAAATTATTGCATTACCACAAATACGATGTACATGGGTATAGCTAAACAAAATAAATGGTAATTACATGTAATCAAAGTACAATTATATGTCGTTGTACATGTTTTTATAGGAAGAAGTTTAATTTTTTTACTGTATTCCGTTCTTTGTTTATTAGGTATCTTATACTTTAAATATTGTTGTTTCATGAAGTTTCTATCAAATATTATTTTATTATATTTTATTGTAAATATGATATTTTATTCAGAATGTGATTTTATGTAGTTAATTAGAAAACTTTGTACATATTAAAGTTGAGAAACCTAACATTGTTATTTGCCAAAGTGTATTTCCCAATAACTAATTCACCTGCATCTAATTTTGCTTCACTACCCCTTCCCCATGACATACTTCACGATTGTGATGAACATGATGTGTTGAAATTGTTTACATTAATTAACTGTAAAATATTACGAGGGTATCATTTGCAAATCTTAATTGCAGTATTATGTTAATTCTTATTTTTAGATGTCATCATTATAAATATTGATATGTGATGTCAAAGATTTTGAATGTGGCACTTTAGAAAATCTTGACCAGAAGTGGCGACATAATGTTATAGTCTCAGACTTTTTTCTGGATGGCAGTTGGTGTTCAATGTCTGTAACAAATGGCAGGTAGTAACATTTTGCATGTAAATACCTTGCTGCCCTTAGTCTTCATTAACATGATGACACCATAACAACTATTAGAGGAAATCTAAACTTATATACTTACCATGTTATATTTTATTAATTTGTTGTACACATATGAGATGAATTGTGTGGATTATATTGTTGTATATTAGTATACATGTACTTCAATACTTCTTTTATTTAGATATATAAATGAAAATTGAAGTGTGAACATTTTTCTGAACGTTAAAATAAATAAACTGAGACATAAATTATTCATCAGCTTGTGTTCAATCATTGTTAGCTTTACTTGATCTGATTTTGTTATTCTGTATCTTAAATATATTTGCATACACTACCTTTAATAAGTTTGAAAACCCTGTTTTTTCTGGACAATGTTTTATGACATGTTGAAGTTTTAAAAGGCGGATTGAATATTATGAATTATCACCGCCTTGCCGGGCCTGTTCTAGGGGTATTAGTGCTTGTTTAGAAGGCATTTATTTTACTATTATTTTTGTATTATCTGAGCAATATGTGACGTCATAGTGGCGGGCAAATAATGCATTAACACCCGGCAATTTTCCCCGGGAAATTAGATATCATTCAGTGCGTAAGATTTTATATAGACAATGAGACCGCAGTTGTAGCAGTTTTGATTGAAATAGAACAGGATTTTTATTGATGAATAAGTTTGACTGACAAAAGTTGCTTTATTTCTTAATTACTTTAAAGTCAAATTATTTTGGGGTGATTAGGGATCAGAATTAAAGATGTCACTTTGAAGGAAGGATTTTTACATTTCCATAAACTGATGTGGCTGATAACTACATGTAGCTATATCAAAACAGGACTCTTATAGAATATTTGTGCTGTCATACACCTAATGTTTAATGACCTAGCATGTTTCTCTTTAACATGCATTTTCAATTTTCTTACTCTGACAAAGAAATATCCAAAAGAAAAAAATATTCTTTGATCCAATTGGATATCAACTACAGCACCATTTTGAAATCATCAGCTACATCTACATAACATTCTTATTAATAAGAATATTGTGAAAACCAGGACACAAAAGCTACATCACACAATACAAAACAAAATATAATTTACAGTGTAAAAGATTTTATTTGTCACACTACCAATAGTGGTATTATAATATGTATATATTTACAAATATGTATACAGTACATAAAAAAGTGGAAAATAATTTCAATATTATTATATGTACAACAATATTTTAAGGATTACATTTTTTAGCAAATATACACTTACAAGTAGTGAATCAAACCAAATTCATTTCATGAACAATTTATAATTTCCATATTTTTGAAGATGCGGACAAATTCAGTTTCACAGTGACTAACATAGAATATGAATATAGAAGTTTTTATCAGACAAAGCAATTCAGAATTTATTTACTTCAAAGGAGCTTGTTTTGAATGCATGGTTTAGCCATGATTTAACCAATGAGTATCACAGTTCAGCATGTTTACAAAACAAAACCATTTAATGTTTATCAAGTTGGGAATCCCTTTCCTGAGTGAAAGAAGAGAAACGGCCAATGATCTCATGAAAAGTCATTTCTTGCTATTTCTCCATTCTTCACACTTTCACAGGAAAAGTAAAAACAACATGATTATCTAAACACATTGAAATATTATCATTATCACATTATACTTAATACTAGCATGTCCTTTAATAATGCATTTCAACCTAGAATTTTAACAAGAATTTATAATCCCAAATATGCCTTGTAATGCATCCTCTTTAAAATGTATTTTTAATGATCAATTTCCATAGAAACTTCGATAATTTTTACTTTATGCAACCTTTGTTTTTTAGGTTACAGCAATAAAACAATACTCCGCTTAACAAATGAATGATGTCATCGTAGCTCAATATTAACATATAAATATAATATTGAAGCAATGTAGCTCCTCTCGAACATTCTAACACCTACTCCGAATTTGGACCATAGCTTTTTGGAAGTACCAAATTTAACAAAAATAACTTTTATGTGTATGAAATACTGAATTCAGATTGAGGACATTCGAAAATGTAATTCTTCGAAATTTTATCTTTAGTTAGAAGATGGTTTTGTGTGGTAAACATCATTACTAACTGTTAGCTGTTTTGCCATTTGAATGAGAAATTATAGAGATCTCTCTGAATGTGAGGTATTTATTTGAATGGAAGACCGGATGGTAATTACGCCAAAGGTATCCAAATTTATACTTCAAGTAATTTAAGGATTTAAGGAAGCTACACATCATATAAGCTCAGTCAGTTAACTCTATTACAAATTCAAATGTTTTTATAGAGACAAGCTTGGCACCACTCATTTTTTAATTACATGTAATATGAAATTCAAAAGAGATTTGATTTTGAAAATATTGGATTTCTTCTATAATATAGAAAGGGATTTCTAAAATAATTCATTAAATAAATTCAGCCTCAATATGAGACTACAAAGTACAGTGGCTTGAGACAAACTGGGAAATTGATTTGAGGTGGTTCATGACACACCTTGAGACATGATTTGAGGTGACTCGTGGCACTGTGGGACACAGCATTCCATCATGGTTACACAGATGACTGATGAACCATATCATGGGTCTAGATTTCCCAGTGTACCAGAGTTAGAACGAACAATGTATTCCTAGAAATACTTCATCATCAGCCAAAGATATTTCCCAGATTTTATTGCTCGGGGCGGTAATAATTTGGGACAACGACAAAAGGATTTTCCTTCTGTATCAGGAAGGATCCCAGCCCTTATTTGTTCACTAAATTCACCTTCATAAATGCACAAGTGGACCTTATCACTTGGTCCACAAAGTCAGAGATCTCTTGCATGGCCAATTTTAATAAATACCAGGGATCAATGAGGCAGCGCAATTTTCAATCCAATTCTGTCAACAAATTCTATTCTGGCTTTATCCCCGAAGGATTAATATTTTAACAAAGTTTGATTGTCTTTTTATTGTGTTTTCTTGCAATCATCTGTCTCTCCTTCTACTGCATTATTGTTGGCTAACTTATCTTGAGTGGCCTTCAACTCCTTACCCTGTTTGGCAGCATTCTAAAAAAGTACACAAAATATTATTTAATATTCAAGTTGAAATAAACAACAAGTTAAATCATGATCTTTAAGGAAAACATTTTTCACATTTAAAAATTATATTACTGAATTCTGGTAAATCAAATTAAGCTAGGCATAGTGATTGTTGACTTTAAAGCTATCATTGAAGTCATGTATGTTTTTAAAAACTGATTTAAACTCAGTATTCTAAAAGTTATGTTTCGGATATCGATCAAATCAATTGAAAATGTATTTACAATGAATGCTTCTCCTTTTAACATATGTTTAGTATTTACTGTAGTTAAGAACACATATAAATAAAAATAATGTATTTTGCCCCGAATCAAATATACGAGGGGTGATCAATAAGTAATGGACGCTTTTTTACACAGATACTTTTTATAGACCAATCCCTTTGATTTTCCTACCAATGATACATCATTCAATTATCTATCAATTCTGAAGATTTGAAGACAAAATATATAATACATATTGATACATCCTTATTTCCGTGAAGGAGGTACAGGTACCCCGGGACTGACATTTACGTCACATATTTAGTTTTTAGCCAGTTTGGTAAATTTCAGTTAGATTGGAACTTTTTATATGCAACAAGTGTTGTGTTGTTTGAAATTTCTTGCTGACTGGTAACACATAAACAGAATTGTATTGTGATGTCAGAGTGTTGTATGGAAGGGATTTGCAGGTCAATTTGAGAAAGAATTGTGGAAGAAAGGGGTGGTGAGAGAAGGGAACACCCTACTCCATATGGACAATGCACCTGCCCACAGATCTCAAAATGTTCAGAAAACAATATCCCTGGACCTCAAAATTTAGCCCTTGGCCAATGCACCATATTGTCCAGATCTGCTCACATGTGACTTGTTTATTTCTATACTATTTATTTCTAGAGAAAGGACGCAGGTTTATTGACATTGATGAAATAAACATGATAAAACAACTCGTGCAACTGCATCTTGCTACCATGTCAGAGAATGGATTCAGCCGTGTCTCACAATCTTGAGTTAAGAGGATGAGGAATTGTGTACATGTAGCACTTGATGGAACCTATTTAGAGGGCCCTGTGGAATGAATGTGGCATGAATACCACATAGTGATGATAAAATATTCAAAAACAACTATGGCAAAACAAAATGGGGTAATTCATGACCATAATGGTTTGTTTTGTTCAGCCTGCATTCAACTGCATTACATGTTAAAAAAGCTAAAATAGCTTCAGAATATGTGACGTAAATGTCGGTCCCGGGGTACCTGTACCTCCTTCACGAAAATAAGGATATATCAACATGTATTGTATATTTTGTCTTCAAATCTTCAGAGTTGATAGATAATTGAATGATGTATCACTGGTAAGAAAATCGAAGGGATTGGTCTATAAAAAGCATCTGTGTAAAAAAGCGTCCATTACTTATTGATCACCCGACGTATTGACAATCACTCATAGAATTTCGGTTTTATTAACACACATTTTTTATCTACCCATATATTGAACTCTAAATTGTGAGCTATTGTGTTCTGTTGCTATTGTTTGCCCAGTACAAATAGATTCAAAACAAATCCCAAACACCAACAGTTTCTTTTAAACTTAATTTTTGACTTGGGAATTTTTAAACTCTAACGTCGGAGTATTTTATATTCAAATGGGCAATTGTTAAGATAGGTTATATAAATCTAAATTTCTATGTCTGAAATATGGAGATCTCCCATATACTGTATTAGAACCTGATACCTGACTAACACTAATAGTCAGTATGGTTGTGCACTTGTAACTTGGGCACTGGTCTCATTATGAATTTTGTAACACTAATAATTACCAAAAAAGGCATTAACATGCAAGATGTCACCACTGGCCATTTGTTACAGACACCAACAGCCTAATGCCAAACACCATCCACAAAAAAGTTGGAGACTATAACAATATGTCACCACTTGTGATGGTGACATAAAAACTAGTCCAATTATTATAAATAAAAAACACTCTCATTCATCACTGAAGAAGAAAGTTGTCGAGTCAGGTCAAAGGTAAGATTGTTTATACTTGTATTGTACCTTAATGGTTTTCTTAATGGATTTCTTGATGTAAGCGTGGAAATAGAAGTTGAGAAAGAGGCTGAGAATCGAGCCTCCATACACAATTAGTGCCCAGTGCATCCATTCTGGGAAATTACATCCAACACGTAGAGAGTTTGTAGCATGTAACATTCCCGCAACAAATTGGATCTATTAGAGTAATAAAAGAGACAAAAGTCAATCAAATTGCTTCAAATGCATCAATATTGGAATCAACAACACCGGGATATCACTGGCCTAACTCCCTATAGTACTTGACACACATTGCTTTAAATTCAAACATCCGTTAGTTGTAGACTTCCCGTGATATCCTTGCTCCGTTGTTCCAATATCCATGCAGCTTCAGCTCTCTGGGTGTGTCATGAGCCACCCAACTGGAATCATGGACAACCACAGTGTTCATGACACACCCAATGTGAGAGTACAATAATTTTACCTTGGTTACTTGTTTGACTTGTTTGAGTATTTTGTTGCCGTATTTTGTGTAGGTTCTTATGTAGAAATTCATGAACAAGGCTATTAGGGTGCTACCGTAAACCAGACCCACATGACCGAACCACTTGGGGGCCGCCCGGCAATCAAACACCATGTGTTGCAGGGAGTAAACCATGCCAATAAAGAATTGGATCTAGAATGGGAAAGCAAGCAATTTGCACCCAAAGCCACATGCATTCCATTTATGTATACTGTTAATTTACATGCAAGGTTGGGGTATCCCAGAAAATAATAGAAAATTGAAATAGTACTTTCTTGATTTCAAAAGTGCTATGAAAAATTATTTTTTATTCAATTCATCCCTACAGATGAGCTAAATAAAAATAATCTTCATATTTGTGTTTTGTCTAACTACAAATTTAGTCCTACCTATAGACAATATATTTTCTAGGATACCCCTATGGTTATGAGCTTTACCCAATACCTATCATAGTATTCATTTTTAATTTGACTTAACAATTTTAACTGTGCATTAGTTAAGCCATGCTAGTTATCTTGCAGTTTAATATGGTCACATATTATTGTATTACGCTTTACATGACACACTGTTCCTTGCAACGGCATCCCACCATTTTTGTTCCAGTTTGTTGTGAACAAAGTATGGTATGCAGAAGAGGGGGAGAAACCCCAGGGTTCAAAGATGACATACGCTTATAATGTAAATCTGTATTGAGATAACATCGTCGCTGATTGGTTTAGCGAGTCGATCGTTGATTGGTTTAAAACTAGGTCAATTTGGAAACTTTGAAAACCAAGATGGAGGGTACGTTTTCGACAAAAGGAGGTGCGCGAAGGAGGAAATCGTATGTCATCAATTGAATCATGGGGTTTTCCCTCCTCTTGTATGCAGCAAACTTTATATTTACAAACAAGAACAATATGGTAACACGCCGTTAAAGAGGATACTGTGTGTTATGTGTAAACATTTTATGTGAGTAAGTAAGTAGTACATTTAACTGATATTTTAATACTAATTAATGCCTATCATGCATATAATTATCATGCGTATAAATAACAATAATCCATACTGTCTAATTCACTATTTTGATGCCATATTTGCAAATAGACAATGCTTTTAAGCATAAACCAAGCGATTCATCGAATGTTACTTTGTAAGTACAAAAATATGCATACCAAATGATAGTCTGAATTCATTTTCTAAGCAAGTACAGTACATGTACTTTGAATTTTTCAAAGACTGTCATAATGATCTTCATAATATCAGATTAGACAAATCAAATTCCAAGCGTCATAAATTATGGGAGAAGACCCATCTTTCAATATGGGCCCAAAATGGGTCAAACTTTTTGTATGTTTCAATTTTACAATGGAATGCCAGATCTGCCACCTGAGACTTTTTCACCCACCTTGATAAATCAGCTCATAATTGAACGGGTCCAAGTGGATGAGTGACTTTAATGGGATCATTTTTTAAAATCTCTTGTTCGTAACATTTTAAAGAGATGCGTGACTATGTTAGTTGTTATGTATAATATGACTAATGTCTACTACATATTACATGTTAGTATATTATACAAGGAAAAATCATGTTATAAGTAGATTTAAGTTTCTTTCTTTCTATTTCTAAGACATTAGTAGGCAAGGCTATATTAGATTCCTAGTCGATACATATTTACCTAAATGCTTGCTAATTAATTGTTATACAAGAGTGTTAATAAAGACAAAATACAACATGTTAAAACTCTTCTAATTATACAAGCCCATAACCACTAGTTGTCAATAACAGTATACAATAAATGGAATACATATATTAGAAGATTTAGAAAGTTTACAATTCAAATGAAGAAATTAAACTCAGGTTTTCAATCTACCTACAGAAGTATTCACTACAAGAGTTTAAACTACATTGACTTTAAATAATGTTGAATTTATTAATTGAATATGTAAGATAGAATGGGGTTTACCCAGTGAAAGGTAGTTTAGTATAAGAACGCACACTGCTTGAGCACTCAGAATTAGTTGGCGAAGAAATGCTGACTTGCGAAGACAGTAAAAGATGCCCCTTATATAGATAAAGACAAGAATTCACACATTTTTAACACATGCAGTAAAAACATATAGCAACAGACACTATGCATGTATGTTAAAAGGCAGAGCTGTGGGATAGGATGAATTAGGATAGGGATGTACCAAGGAGGGTTGGCTCCCAAGTGCAACGTCAATATTTTTGCCATATATGGGCATGTCCTGAGGGCCAATCCTCCTTGGGGATGTACTGTATATAATGGGGAGGTAAAGAAAATGATAAATCACGTTGGTTTACACTTGAAATGCTCCACATGGCGTTTGAGCTGCATGCAAGTTGGCCTCATAAAGCAAAATGTGCTTTTAAAAGTTAACTAAATAAAATGTTCAATACTGTTGCCTGGTTTTATTAATAAATTTGGTGTTGTTTTTTGAGTACCTAGACAGCATTCAAAATACTATAGACAAATCAATCAAAATATATATGAACAAATTGAAAATGGGAATATTTTTAAATTAAATCTACAAATAAGGTTAAAATACATACAATGTACTTAATATAATATCATAATGAAAATGTAGCTCAAAACTCAACACTGAATGCTAAATGCATGAATGGTTAAACATTTTTGGGATAACTACTTTTGGAGAAGTGAAAAGGTTTTGGAGAGACAACTTTGGAAAAAGCTCTCTTGAAATGAAACAATAGTGAAGTGCTAATAGTGGCTCTTTCTAATGAAAAGCTTTCTATTATAAGCTATATCCTATTACATCATATATAAGCCATCCAAAAGCTCTCATAATATATAAAGTGTCACATTTGCGATATTAAATTATTGTATTGGATAATGGAAAATAAAATGTTGCATTATGGGTAATTTGATTATAGACAATTATGCATGCTGTTACATGAAACTTGCTTTTATAAGACTTACCAGTTGTAGGACGGTAAGATAACGTTTCCACCAAAGATATTTTTGGTATTCTTTTCCAAGTGCAGATACCCCATAGTAGCCATACATTAGGACGTGGATGAATGAATTGATCATAGAGCCAAAGAAAGCTGAAAAGGGAACAAGTTAATGTTATGAGTGCAATATGTAACTTGGTTTGAGACTATTGAGACTTTATCATTTTGGGATGACAAAGTTTGAGACTATTACTTTATAAGATGATCTATTTGAAAATGTGAGAAGTTTTTCTGTAATAATAAAACATTTTACCAATAATATACAAAACATACAATACGCTACAAATCCTTTAAATAAGTAAGCATTTACAAAATTCCATAGGTATGAACTATGAAGATAAGTTTAATGGTAGATATGCACTTGATCCATAACTCACCTTGACCTCCAGCAACCCACTTGACCCCGCACCACCATATTGGAAACATTGTTGCATGATGATACACATGTAGAAATGAGATTTGATTATTCTTTTTACGAAGCACAAAAAATATAGTGTCCATAAATTCTATACACTTTGAGAAGTAGTACCACCACAATGCCTTTGCTATCTGAAACCAAAGAAATTAAGAGTCAGGCCATGGTAGACTAAAGCAATTAATTGTGTACACATATTCCTCTTTTTGCAATTCAATAAATAGGGTAAAAATTAGTCACATTATCCATTTTTGGCATTTTTGTAATTTTTTGAATAACATCAACTTGAAAATATGTAAAATTAAGAATAAATAATGTAATTTTATAAATTATTAGGGTTGTTCAAAGTTTTGCATGGAAGCTTCTCAAGACAAATGATTCTTATCAAAAATTTAATGCAGATAAAGTTTCATTATTCCTTTAAGCAACCCTACTATATAAATTTTTTGAGTTTGATACATATTGTGTTGAAGAGGGATAAGACACTTCTCCTGGGGGAGAAATTGGGAGATGAGAACGAGATATGAACTTATCTGTTGAAGAGGGCCAAGACACTTCTCCTGGGGGAGAAATTGTGAGATGAGAATGAGATATGAACTTATGTGTTGAAGAGGGCTAAGAAACTTCTCCTGGGGGAGAAATTGGGAGATGAGAACAAGATATGAACTTATGTGTTGAAGAGGGCTAAGAAACTTCTCCTGAAATTGGGCGATGAGAATGAGATATGAACGTATGTGTTGAAGAGGGCCAAGACACTTCTCCTGGGGGAGAAATTGGGAGATGAGAACGAGATATGAACTTATGTGTTGAAGAGGGCTAAGAAACTTCTCCTGAGGGAGAAATTGGGAGATGAGAACGAGATATGAACTTATGTGTTGAAGAGGGCCAAGACACTTCTCCTGAAATTGTGAGATGAGAATGAGATATGAACTTACCCTTAATTCAAGCTCATTTGTTGGATCATAGTTTACTGGTTGACATAAATAGTTGTAGTTGAGTCTTATTGAACAGGTGAGCAACTGGAAATAAAACAAGAAAAACATAGAATTAAACTCCTGAGGAAAAATAAGGGTTTAGTAAAGGCCCAAGGCAAAGTTTGAAAAAATTGTTTAACCATCTAAATATAATCTATGATATGACTTAAAAAGTTGTACGCTACAATTATTCAACCTTCTAAAAAAATCATTAAATTAAAAAGATTCCACATATTAATTTTGATAACATGGGTAAGACTTCAACATAAGTGGTTTAAACTTTATATGAGGCCTTTAATAAATTCTCCAAGGCTCATGAAACATCACCTGTCACATGTGAATGATGCACAGGTATTCCCTGTTTAACAAAATTTTTTAAAAAATTGTAAAATATTTCTCAATTTTGAAATATTTGTGTATCTTCGTCTATATTTGTAGATTTTTACATTATATTTTAGAAATAATATTATTAGTATACGGATATTAGATAAATGGAAGATTTTACTTACTTCGTATACTATATGAGCATTGAGTCCCACGAGGCCCATATTATATAAAAACAGGATATATTTGAAGTTGAACGGCTCCCTATTTGCCATGATACGTTTCCCTGCCCATATGGAAAATAGATAGAGGGCCGTAAGAACCAGGGTAGGGGTATATGATTGCATGAGGAACCAGTTCTCGACACGTTTGTCTGCAAACGTATGTGTCCAATCGTACCATTCTTGGAAATGGTTCCACTTGTCGCGAACCACCTCCATCACCAAGAATTTGTTTCCTCTGAGAAGCTCCATCTATTCAGCTCTGAAATCACAGAATGGAAAACTATCATAAGATGTGAGTGTGTCTGTCATGACATGAATCAACTGTATCAACCATATTTTATTGGAACAATTAGAAGTTAGACCCCATCTACTGAATGTTTACTTCTGTTCTTTGCAATCACTTTATATAAAAGATAGGTTCACTTCAGAACCATATTTTCATAGTAGTAGGGATGGGGAAATAATAATTGACAATAATTCAATGAATATATTATATATATACACTGTACCTGTATGAAACAACAATTCAATTTGTATTAATTATTTATAATATCAAAATATGAGGGCTTTACGGGTAACAGGTAACACAGTGCCATCTAATGTTTGGTGAAGGAATTATCACTTGGAATGATTCCTGTTAAATGCAAGTTATGAGCTACAATGAACACTTAATGACATCATAGAGTCCGGGGGTTTCATTAGCAGCAGGCAACAGGCGATTTTCACCGGTTGTTTTCACAAAGTCGCCTGTTGTTCTGAGGGACTTTTCAACTTTTCCATGTTAAATTTATGATTTCCATTAATTTTGCCCGTTGTTTTCAATTATTTAGCCTGTTGTGAGAACTTTTAGTAAAACCCCTGGAGTCAATAAAATGTTTAATAGCAAGTGACAGATTTTTGCACTAATATCACCTGATCAAACAGGGGTCATATATCTGACTTTGATTTAACCTCATTTAACGAAAAAATACTGATAAATAATTTACATCATACAAATGTTCATCCACAAGACTCATGTTTACATGAGAGATATATGAGTTATTTAACAGTTTGATCACTCCTCTACACATGTTCATCACTTAGCCTTATCTTAATTGCTAGTTAGATATGTACCTGAACAAATAAATATGTGATATCTAAAACAAATTGTTGTTACAGTAATTTCTCTGTATGTATACATTTTTATCAAACTTTTACCGAATACTAAACGTAGTGATTAGTTATTCAAGTTTTTGCATTTTTGTGTCTATTTTTACAATATTACAATTGATCAATGAACATTAATATCTGATCATATCAACACAAGTTAGAGCACCAGCCATATTATGAATTATTTAGCTAATTGGTGAACATTATTTTTTGATAAACTGTTTTAATATGCATATATGTGAGCAGTCCCAACTTAGTTAAGCATACAAACATATTTTTTATAACCTCATACAGTTCTATAATGCTGACAGATCAGTATGTCAGAACATCCTTACTAATTAATACACCCTTGGTATACGCAGCTAACGAAAATTGACCGGTACAGGTCAAAAGCTGGACCGGTACGGGTTAACGGTTTTATTTGAATTTAAAATAGCCATAACTTGCTCAATATTGACTTCCTCGTGTCTAATTTGAAATATATGATGCCTCCTGATGCTTTTAAGTACCCCAATTTTTTACAGATTTTTAAACGGACCAAAACTCTCTAAATGCACATTTATGCTCTTTTCTCTCGAGTATGACGGTCTCATTTTCACGATAACTTTTATTTAGTACTTCTAACATATAAGATCTATTTTTCCCCATCAAGGTATGATGTAAATGACATGCTATTTACATCTTGTGAGTTTCAATGACGCGCGTTTCATTTTATAAAAAATGCCAAACTTTGTGACAAAGAATTTCATCAGCTATTGCCCCGAACCGGTCCGTCTTCTCACTGCAAGCAGATTGCCCCGAACCGGTCCGTCTTCTCGCTGCAAGCAGGATGAAATTCTTTGTCACAAAGTTTGGCATTTTTTATAAAATCAAACGCGGGTCATTGAAACTCACAAGATGCAAATAGCATGTCATTTACATCATACCTTGATGGGGAAAAATAGATCTTATATGTTAGAAGTACTAAATAAAAGTTATCGTGAAAATGAGATAGTCGTTCTCGAGAGAAAAGAGCATAAATGCGCATTTAGAGAGTTTTGGTCCGTTTAAAAATCTGTAAAAAATTGGGGTACTTAAAAGCATCGGGAGGCATCATATATTTCAAATTAGACACGAGGAAGTCAATATTGAGCAAGTTATGGCTGTTTTAAATTCAAATAAAACCATTAACCCGTACCGGTCCAGCTTTTGACCCGTACCGGTCAATTTTCGTTAGCTGCGTATACCAAGGGTGTAATAGACATGGACATAATATACTAAATGTGAACACTTTTATCATTTTTCTAAACTAACCTTAAGTGTAGGAGTCCTTCTTCATTGAATATATAATATATATGAACTCATATCTTGAATATATGTTTCGACTTCCCTGCTATGCTATCATTAAGTTAATCTGCAACTATCATCCGATAAATAAATATTAGATACAAATCAAATCAAATATGACATTTCATCTTCATATTTTACCTGTACTCAGACAACCCGTGCCCTTGCAATATAAATGAAATATACAAATCTGGAAAAATGTATAAATATAATTTAAGAAGAAACTTGTAGGAAAAATTGATAACCCTTTCGAGACCCTTCCCGCCATCTATATTCTTATTTTTAACACTGAATGACCAATGACCACTGGTAATATACCGGTAACTTTCTTGTAAGCCTTATACATGTATATACATCATCATGATTTTTGCAAGGGAATTTGAACATGAGACCTATGATTCTATGAGGGAAGTGCATCTACAAACACAACCTTTGAGTTCTGAATCATTTCATAATCTTTACTACACGCTGATCTCTATGATTACAATTTACAAACACATGTAGTATCAATATAATGTAACAAGCCTTTTAATATGGTGTTGGCCATATGTTGTGGTCGGTTATTCGCCCCCTTCCCCCACCTCATTCCCTCTATAACCTTATTCTATTTAGTTCTCACGTTCCTTGACAATTGGCTGAAAATGTCCGACTATAAGCATTAGGGGAGGCATCAAAAGTTCAATGTCTGATAGGAAACTAAATAAATCTAGTTTTGAGTTGGACCCCCCCCCCCTCCCCCTCAAAACTAAATACAATGAAAGTTGATCGCAGACTTTCACATGTTTTTGCGACTCAATTTGGACTTTTATGGGGGCAGTACTATAACTTATTCATGACTCTTAAAACATGTGCCAACAACATCTCTCAAATTGATAATTTGAGCAAGATTTCACTGCAATTTCTACAAGTTGGTAAAAAATAATACTTACTTGTAGATAAATAAAAATTTGATTTAATAAACTAGAGCGTAAATGTCCAAAGTTACAATATACGGTATACTTCAGTGTTTCGAGCTCCTAAATTGAAACCCTGTGACTACCAAATTCCTGCATTTATACATATTTATTTTACATTTGATTATATGTACATATCATTTATCAAGCTGGCAAATCTTAGTTAATTATTTCATATTATAATCCAATTTTTATTTAATTTTTTCTCATACCTTGGTAAGTACTTATGCCTATCGTTTTCTACTTAAAAATTTAATACAAACCTCAAGCTGATTTCAAACCATGTGTTAATATATAGTACTATTATGTTGCTATTAGTTTAGCCGGCTAACAAAAGCTGTACAGCCCCTATATAGATTATGAAATCCCTTTGTTCAAATTTCAACTTAATCCATTTCTATTGTGAACATTAGAAATCTCCATGTAAATACTAAAAGGATTTGCACCTACTGCCATTGGACAGTGAACACTGACCATAACATAGGGAAATGTAAGTACTTAGTTGCTAATGGCAACTAATATTGGTTGACAAATAAAATTAAGAAGTCCAATTATGCTAGAATTTACAGTTAGACTAATTATAATCTAATGATGTTGATAATCAATATTATTTCCACTTTTCCATAATTTGGGAAAATTATATAACCTGAAGACAGTATAAATGAGAAAGCCAAAATATTGAAAATATCCATCCCTGATAACAAGGCTCTGAGACCAAGAATACCTTATTTCTCTTTCCCTCTCATACTATCTATTAAATAACATGCAAAATGTCACCACCTGCCATTTATTACAGATGCCATTTGTGACAGACGCCATGGCCATTTGTTACAAACGCCAAACAAGATCCACAAAAAGTTAGACTAACATATTATTCTATCACTGTCATATTCCTCACTCTCTGATTGGTCCATGTCCTACATGTGATAATAATATAGGAATATCCAATGGTTTTGAAAAAAATCATTTATAACCATGAGTGGATATTGATATCTTCACGAGTGAGCGCAGCAAGTGAATGAAGATATTTATACCCATTATATACATTTCTTTTAATTTTTGTTTTTAGGGAAATCTAGAAAAGTTAAAAATTTGAAAAAATGAAAAATATCCCTCATCAAATATCGCTTTTGAAACCATCGAATACTACCTTTTAAAAAGTGATATTCTATGGTTTCAAAGTGATATTCAATGGTTTCAAAAGTGATATTCGATGGTTTAGGGATTTTTTGCTGAAATATGATATCTTGATCCACATACCAAATATATCTTCACGTGATATTCGATCTATATCCTTCTAACCATTGGATAACAATCCTATGGTTTTTTCGTTGAATATCAAATGTTATTATATCACTATCTAGCTAGCGACAGTATGATTGGTCAAAACCGGGCCACATGTCGTGGGATATCTGGCGATATTCATTGCAATGCTAATCAGATAAGACAATCGTGAGATATCTAGCGATATCCCACGCTCCCGGGAATTTTCAAAGAATTTGTTTTCGTTCAGTGTAAATAATTTAGTTCAGTGTAAGTCAAAATGGCAGACGAACCGAGTAGATTCGTAAAAATATCTGAAGACTTAATGACTTAGCACTTTCACAAGGTGATATTCCACTTGCCCTTCGGGCTTCGTGGAATATCACTTGTGAAAGATATACAGGTATTCACCTCAATAGAGTGAAATATTTGTTCAATATTCACCTTTCTGATTTATTATACTGTATATACCTGGAAGACCATTGTTATATGATTACTTAGACATCAATAGTTCATTAATGTAAGTGAGGAATATAACAGTGAATAATAAAACAAATATTTAATTCTATTTTCGCTGATTTACCTTACCTGATTCACAAGATGATGTTCTACTAGCCCTTCAGGCTTTGTGGAATATCACTTAGAATTAAATATTTGTATAATGTCACCACATGTGGTGGTTATATAAAAATAGATTCACAATATAAACGCTTCACTGTACCGATTTTAATTGAATGAAGTGATTTCATGTACAAATAGTCTAAAAATTAGTAATTCTAAAATATTATAGAACACCCAGTGACCCAGAGGCATTTACAAATTTCAACAGACTATATAAAAATACCCCCTATTTTCAAATAAAAAACACCATCTGAGAGCTTTTAATCACAAGTATATTTTAAGGCGCTATCTTTGGTTTCTCAAACAGCATTCCCTGAACTGATGAGTGCCAATATATACAATCAGAGACAAACAATGTACCAAACTGAGGTGCTGTTTCATTTTGAGTGAAGTTCCATTTTGCAAGTACTAAATTATCTAATAATGCAGTTGTACATAAGTACACTACAACCAGATCATCCAAAAAAGTCATAAAATACAGATAAAACATAGTGCAGTGTAACGTATAGCTCTTCAAACATTTAATAAGAGTTTAGATGCACTTTGTTGACTCCCCATAGTACTGTTTATTATCAGGTGACTGTAGCATGGGTCAGTACTCAAATAATTCATAGCAGGACTTGTGTGCATGAACTTCTACTACTCCAGTGTGCATACGTATTACCATGGGCTTTCAACTAGAGCCCATGGTATTACTCACTTTAAGAGCCATGCTTGATTTTGAAACTTATGGCTCTGCAACGGATCGAGCTATGGACAGCTGAATAATTGTGACCTTTAAAACATGAATTAATGTTCTCAGTGGATTACTTATGTTCTCTAACTGTGTCCTACATCAGTATCATCCATCCTTGCAAGTATCGGAGCGCTGAAGTACTTCCTTTTCGATCAAGACTTGTAATAGTTAGTCGAGTGAATGTTTTTTCTGCCCAATTCCAACATGGCGTTTTTTGCTCGGACATTTTCGTAAATCTCTGGAGATTGTCCAAACCAACCTCATTCTCAAAATTCATTTCGTTCTTTTCATATCTCACTACCTAGCAAACCGCCATATTGGAAATGGGTTGAAAAACGATTCACTTGAAGAACAATTTACGTCTTGCTCGAAAAAGAAGTATTTCAGAGCTCCAATACTTGCACGGATGGATGATACTGATGTAGGACACAGTTAGAGATGACCAAAAGTAAGCCGCTGATCGCATTATTCATGTTTTAAAGGTCACTATGATTCAGCTGTCCAGTGCTCCGTGGGAAAGATTATATCAAAATCCACAGAGCGAAGAACATAGAGAAGTCTTGATATCCATAAATAAAGTACAAAGAAATTAATGAGTAATTGCAAAACCATTAAACCACATGCTTTTAATAACATGTACATGGTGTGTGTAAAAGACATGAGTATCCTGTACTGAAGGCTCTAAAGTACATGTACATGTACATCATGCTCATGCCTGTTACAATGTATACATTAACATTAACATGTGCCACATTCAATTGTACTATCATAGGCATTCACTGACATTTTTATTTGAATTTTACTACAGAAACCTCAAACCAGCTAAAAAAACATATAAAACTCAAATTAGACTTTAGATGTAGCGTACAGTACATGCTTGACAAGTCAGCTGATCATCATAATTAATTTGACCCAATTCCTTTTGTTCAGATCTTTTGAATACACCGTATATTAAATCTATCCATGGGCAAAATTACTTTAAGGGTCAAATTGGATTAAACCAATCTCTACTAAGTCTTCTCCTTGTATAAACCTGTGGGTCAATGAAAAGGTGTGGTCCATGCCCTTGCCCATTTTCTGTGTCGACTGAATGAAAACAAACCCTTGTTCTCAGAACGGAGTGAATGTGCATGAGTTTTCGTGCAGACACCCATGCTATACACAAACTACAAGTGAATGAAGTCTAATAGCTAGTAATCAGAACAATCTTCAACTTGTTCTCATCATATTCCTAAATCTTGCAAATGTGTCAAATTCATTGATTGATCTTCATCTTGAAAAAATTAATTTGGAATTTTTGAAACAGAAAATTCTGGTAGTGTGCCCTCATAAATCGCTTCAATAATTAATGAAATTGATCTCCAGAAGTTAAATGTAATTCTAACGTACCTTGTTCATGTATCCAGAGCCAATATGAACGCATATATTGAATTAAATCCGTCAATAGGATAATCCCGGTTGCCACCAACAGCATGTAAAGCTGAAATAAGTAGGTCAAACTTTAACCAATCAAAAGTGCCGTCATAACATTTTTCATCCCAACAATTCTGTTAGACGCATTTTCATTGGTTGACAAATTAAGAACTATTTCTGTAAATCTTTTCAATTTGTTTGGCAAGTGCAAATAATTAATGCAATGAATCTCTAAGAGGTCCTTACAGAATCGTTTACTACACTGCTGAAATATACGGACTCTTTCTTCAACACATTTGATGACACATTGGTATCTAAAAGAAAGGTAATATTGAGTTTGTTATCCAGTTTTTTGTAATGTTTGCTGAAATGCATGTAAATTTGGCAGGCTAAATTAGATCTAATCAATCTACACTACATACACAGTCACAGTAACTTTGCATTTAATCTAGAATATGCCTGGTAATGATTCCGCTATACTCTCTGGAAGACTACTATATCACGCAAGGAGGATTGGCTCCCAGAGTGCACCACCGATATTCTGTCCCATATATGGGTATGTCGTAATACAAAATTCGAATTCAAACAGCCGCCATTTTGTTCACTTCAACATTTAAATCGTGAATTTTGGTCTTATTTCCAAACGAAAAATTCCAAAACTCACAAGAAATGATCGAGATATTGGTTCAAATCTTTTGAACTGTTTATTTTGAATTTATAGTCGGTTTTAATTTCAGAAAATAACGACATTTCGACATTGTTGGAAAATATCGAGTTTCGATCCTGGGAGCCAATCCTCCTTGATATCACGGGAGTAAGTCCAACCTTGATTTGACTAACCAGGTCGTCAGATAGGGGGGGGTAGTCATGCCGTAGCGCCCGGTACGCTGGGTACGCACAGGCGTACCAGATGGTTGCAAATTCGCTCCAAATACAACCAAATTTCAAAATTTTCCCCCAGACCCCCCTCAATGCTAGATTTTTGATTCATTCAACTCTTGTTCCCGTGGCGGTGGCATACTTCTAGACTATATCCTCTAGTCTGAAATTTTTTTGAAATTTGGAATGAAAATATTGAATTCTCAGGAAATTGACTCTATTGGATATAGACTAGGCGACTTAGGCGTACTTCTAAGAAAAATAGCGCTACGCCCATGGTAGTTCTACAAGTAGAACTATAATGTAAGGTCTTCTTTATCAATTCTGATCTTTCTTAGATAGCCCATGGGCTTTCAATATAGCCATACATTTTCATAAGACATCACTGGCGGATCTGGGGGGCCCAGAAAAAAGAATAGACTACATGCGAGTAGAAATAATCTTGATTTACGTCATTAATATTCAAAATTCAGTCAAAGCGATGTCATATTTGAAATCTGCATGTAAATGTACATCTAGAAATATGGTTTCGAAAATTGTCTATCAACTTTGAAAATTTTTTTTTTTTGAAAATGTGACTTCTTGTTCGGGTTGATTCCTCATAGACCCCATGTTAGAAAATCACAAAAAATGTATTATCTTTTCTTGTATTGGACAGATAACATTTTCTTTTACTGGACATATTTTAATTTGCACAACTATTAGATACATAAGGGCTATATGAAAATTGAACCACGCAAATAGATGTAATTTAAGTTAAAGGGAACTTTCTACTATACCCACCATGCTATCTGACCCGAACGAGCCACCTGGTGGTGAATCTGGTAACTACCTACTCGCATATGCAACTTATTAGGCTCAAAAAAAATTTGAGCCAAAAAAGGCCCTAAGGCCCCAAAAAGTTGGCCTTTTTGGTCATAAATAGGCCTTCTAAGGCCTTGTTTTTTTAATTTTAGGCTAAATTTTTAAGAAAATGGGCCTCAAAATTTGGGCCCACTTTTTGGTTTTAGGAGCCCAAATTTTTTTATTTCAGTGGGTGACGTCTCTTGAAAATATTTGACCTTTAGGAGATTTGAAACTTTGTTAAGTGTAAAGAAAGATATCATATTTTGTTATATGATGTTTAAATTCAAAGTTCAAATTTAGTTGTCCACTTATATTTTTGCAAGAAAAAATGAGGTAAGCTTATTGGAAATGATACCAATTTACAAAATGTATAATTTGCAACCCTAAAATAGTTTTTTTTTATAGTTTATGCAAATGAGAATTGAATGGGGAAGTTAGGGCTGTCAAACTTTGGGAGGGAGTGTAAATTGTATGCACTATGTATACAAGATACAATTGTAGATTGTAGATTGTAGATACAATTGAAAAATGCTTTTATATGTGCAACCCTAACGAGGTGGGGGGAGAGATTTGTGAATAACATAAAAATAGAACCCCTGGTCACCAAATCCTGGCTACATCACTGAAATACAGAATGAAAATGCGGAGATTTATACAAAACAAAAAATTCATGAATTAATGCATGCAAATAACAGCAAGCTGGTTATCTAAAGCTGATCTCAATCCTCATTTTCTGAACAATTTATTTTCTTTCATTTTTTTTTATGTTTTAATCAGAATCAATAACGATAGCACATTTAATATGGTGAAATTCTACACTCGTTGGACAAAATGTCAGTACAAATGCACTGACCTTTGGTTCATGCTTATATGACACTCTGTCCAACTTGTGCTGAATTTCACCATATTGCACATATCATTATTTATTCAAATAAATAATTGATCTGCAATCAGCATCTAATGTCACCACCTGCCATTTGTTACAGACACTGAACCCCAAACACGATGGATCGCCCCCCCCCCTTAACCAATAAAAATAAAACCATTAGAAAGAAGAAAAAAGAGCTTTAAAATGCTTTTTATTTCAAGCTTCTAGACTGAAAGCTGGCAATGCCCCTGGGGCTTGTAGCTAGACTAGTACAACAAATATGACCCCTTCAAATGATTGAATAATTCCATTTCTACATTATATGTACATACGTAGTTAATCATAGAATGATGTACGTATCTTTGCAGTGCCAGGTCAATAAAGGATCGGAATTGAGAGTCAGGTCAGGTGGTTGCAGGAGACACTTGCAAAGATGTCTACGGAGTTAAGGTCAGGCATATCAGAGGTTGCGGAGACTTTACAGAAATGGTACAATTTAAATGTGGAAGCTAAAGCAGGTGAGACATGCAAATATTATTAAACAAGACACAATTAGACACATGCATAATAGGATGTGAGGTGATACACATAGAATTAGAGATGTCGGATTAGTCAAAAACAATGCAGAATGTCAGGTTAAACACATGAAATTATGAAAGCTGGAGGTTGGACATAAACAATAAGGATGTCATAATATGAAACACATTTGGTCATAGCCCAAGAACATTTATTGTATAAAAAAGATCAAGTTGAATGCACCAAGTATTAGTAAAGTATAAGAACAGTGGGTAAGTCAGATTAGATGCATGTAATACTAGTATTACTTCAAATCTCTGGACTCCCCCTCTCCTTATTTACTTCACCACCTAATTGGAAGGGGTGTAGTTAGGGTTACAAGAGCTTCTAGCTAGAGTTTTACAATATCAGGAGACAGGTCCAATTTCACACAATTTCAATAGTCGCTTACATAATGAATAAAATCAGCACAGCTATTTATTTAGCAATGTGTAAGACTAAGATTATTTGATTATCATATGTAATCATTCAATTTATCAATATTTAATATATTATTTAAAATTCAGGATACACGTTAAAAGTTGGCACATCCCAAACGTAATATTTGTTCATGAACTTTAACCAATATGAAGTGATGGACATAAGGATGAAAACTTTGCTAATTTAACCAATCATGTATAATATTCTCAATCATCTTAAGAATTACAAGAATTCAAGTTCAACAGTATCCTTATTAACTCATGATTTTGTCTGGTTAATTAAGTCAAAATGAATATATTACTCGTATACTGTATATATGACAGTACATGTATAATGATTTTTTTTTCCTTCCAAATTTTCATCTAGAAATGAAATTAATGTATTAAATAAGTACATAACATCATTGGCTTACAAGAGAAAGTTACTAGCTGTATAAAAATCATAATTTTATTTACATTTTTTGATTTTATTTCCAGACCCTAGGGTGTCAGAATGGTTATTTATGGGGTCACCATGGCCAACTTTGATCCTGACTGCTCTGTATCTTTGCCTCGTGAAGTATGGACCAGGCCTCATGAAGCCGTACCCAGCACTGAATCTCAGACCTCTTCTGATTGGATACAATCTCATGTTGGTTTTATTCTCAATTTGGATGTTTTTTGAGGTATGCTTTAGTCAATTTGACTCAATTACTATATTATTGGATAAAGACTGAGATTCTATTTAAATGCCAATTTTGACAAAAATCTCAAGTACTGCATGAAGATAATTAAATGGCTACCGTTTTAATTTGATGGTTGAAAAAATCTGCCAATTTAAAAATGCGCCAATTTTCAAATCTATTTTGGAAAATCAACAAGGAATTTGTACTTTGCAATTATTTCACTAATATAAGTATTCTGTATTTGGATGTCAGTGCTATACCAAGACTTACTTTAAGTATAATACATGAATCTGAAAGGCTTATTTTCAGATCAATGATAAAACTTGAGCTCAGTTCTGACTCCGCCAAATTAAATAGCCCCCAATATTTGAAATGGAGCAAATCCGCCAAATTAAGTAGCGTCAAATTAAGTGTATCAATAATACAGTACAGTACATTGATCAAAATAATGTATTTGCTTTATCCCAAATATCCTCATATTCAACAAAATGAAGAACAGTGGAGTATAACTCTTCAGTCTCTTATTCTTGGTGTAAGACACGAAATCTAGAACTGTTGTAATTGAAAAAAGCTTTAAATATAGAGTTAAACCTGTCTAATCTGAACACCACTGGTATCAGCCAAAAATGTTTAGATTAGCAGGTGTTCTGTTCACATTTCAAGTTTATTTAAATATGTAAGTCAATGGGAGATACCAAAGGTACAGACAAAAAGTGTTCAGATTGAGAGGTGTTCCGATTACAGAGGTGTTTGGATACATACAGGTCTCACTATATTCCCCTTTAGTCAACAATCACACTGTCAGTGAATTAAAGTACTGTAAATCAATGATTTTATTGCAGTTTGCATTTACCACTGTCCTAAGTCAAGAGTTTAGTATTATATGTCAGCCTGTGGACTACAGTAACAACACAATGGCCAAAAGGGTAAGTCCAGTCCTTCATATTGCACATTATATTGTTTGTATTCATTTTCATTTTCCATCACTAAATGTGAGTTTACATTTCGTATACATTTTATACAACTGTTAACTCTTTGACTTGTAAATACTTCAAACAAAAGTAATAAAATGATCAAATGATAAAGTTTGACAGAGTGAAAGCAAAATCCCTTTTATGTTAAATTGGCCTCATTTCATGGTCACCTGTTTTAATTTCAGTTAGCTGCTGTGATATGGTGGTACTATTTCTCCAAGTTTGTTGAGTTCCTCGATACCATATTCTTCATCTTGAGGAAGAAAGACAGCCAGATTACTTTCTTACATGTCTACCACCATTCTACCATGTTCATACTCTGGTGGATTGGAGTCAAGTTTGTCGCAGGTGGTGAATGTAAGTTTTTAATTATCTTTCCGGGATCAAATATTTTTATAATGGTAACGGCCACAATGCACTGGCGGATCTGGGGAGGGCCCAGAAAAAAAAATTGGCCGCAAAAAGTGGGCCTTTTTGGTCATAAATGGGCCTTCTAAGGCCTTATTTTTTCATTTTAGGCCAAATTTTGAAGAAAATGGGCCTCAAAATTTCAAAAATTTAGGCCCAGTTTTTGGTTATTTTCTCAGACCAGAACTTTGGGCACCCTTGTTGGTTCCCAGATCCGCCCCTGCAATGGTTGGAATCATTGCTCACAATTTTGCCACCAGTCTAATTTTTGCTTTAATGAAATAAGAGATTAAAGAAATTTAAATTCTCATCATTTTGAATCACTTTTTTCATAAAGTACACTGTATCATACAGTGTATGAGATCATATTTATATATTAAGATCATGATATATGTTTTTCATATTTCAGCATATTTCTCAGCTACAGTGAACTGTGGCGTTCATGTTGTTATGTACAGCTACTATCTGCTCTCAGCTCTGGGGCCTGCAGTACAGAAATACCTCTGGTGGAAGAAGTATATGACAGTTCTACAGCTGGTATGGACATTTTAGATATCAATTCAAAAAGTTTAAATTTTAGTATTATCCTTCATTGAAAGCTTTGAGTCCTTTGTTTACTTAGAGACTCAGCTGAATGACTATGTTTTGGGAGACTTCCAATGTAACTTCAAATCAATGATAAGATTATTTGATGGTATTGGTATAACAGTGTAACATGTCATATGATTAATACATATATCATATAAGCAAATAAGTGTTGAATCACAGACGAGTTTTCACATTCTTTTCCTACATATTTTGAAAACCAAGTTGGCCCAGATTAAGTGTAACAGGTGTTGGACTGGCACTTAGTCTTATGTGCCAACATATATACTGTTTATAAGGCAATGGTCATATTTATGTGCATCTTCTCAAAAGAAAAACCTCAGCCAAGTTCATAAACTGTATACAACTTTTTAAAATTATTTATCCCCTCTCACATTAAATGCATTTTTGACCACGAATTATTATTCTATTTCCAGGCGCAGTTTTTTGCAGTTATTCTCCATACCACATATGCCATCTATTCAGACTGTGGCTACCCTAACGTATATCAATACGCACTCATTGCATACTCCTTTTCCCACGTGTGTCTGTTCTCAAACTTTTATGTGAATAAATACAGCAAAACTACCGCTGTCAATGGAAAAACTAAAGAAGTCAACGGGGCAAGACATAGTGATCGTGACTCAGTAAATCAGAGGTATAATCTACGAAAAAGAAAGCCAGAAAAAATATAAAAGATATCTGGACTCCTGTAACATCAATCATCCAAAGTGTATTCCATTAATGTAAACTTCTGAGAAGTTTGGAACATACTATTTCTCATTTGTCTGAACAATTTCATGATGACCAAATTGCACCATTGATTACTAAACTTGTTGTGATTCAGTTATATGAATATGTATGTGCAACATCTCTATGTAAAAATACACTATAGAAGTGTAGAATACACTAAACAAACATATTTTACATGCTGGCTTTAAATCCTAGTATTAATTTGATACAATAAATCATTTTCCATGGTTGTCATGGTGATTTAACTTAGTGTTTGCTCAACTATTTATGAGAATGTTAAGTATTACCAATCAGTTGTTATTTATACTATAGATCTAATATGTGATATGTGCCATTTGTGCTTGATGTTTCGATACCCATATAGTTGTCTCTATGTTTTTCATGAAATAGTTATTGAAATATACAAGTATATACATGTTCTAAAAATATTAATAAGATGTTATACAGATGTGTATTCATTTATACAAATGTTACTGTATTCCTGAGATTATTGCTGTAATTCTCATACATGTAGTGGAGATATTTATTTTGAATAGGTAGCTGTGATATTCATTTTGGACAGCTGTGATATTCATTTTGGACAGCTGTGATATTCATTTTGGACAGCTGTGATATTCATTTTGGACAGCTGTGATATTCATTTTGGACAGCTGTGAAATTTACATTCATACTGAACTGCTGTAATATTTATTTTGTACAGAACTATTGTACTCGTGTTCATGAGCTTTTCAAAAGTTTTATTAAATCATAATCCTATCAGTTACTGAGAAGTGATTCTTTGATGAACCACTGGTACTACTGAAGCTCTATGACATGGTCAAACAGTGTTTAGTCTGGTTTTACCAGACAGTGTGATAGACTTATGTGCTCAATTCAAATCTCACACATTCTAATCTATATACAAAGTAATATTTTTCATATTGTACGGATTTCACATACCATATTTAAATTAAATACTTCGACATAAACTGGTACACGTACTTGTTTTCATTTTGTAATCCTAACACAAATCATTGTTTATAACTTTTATATTGTATTCATATGCTCAGTTGATTGGATTTTATGTTATGTTTTACCAAATGTATTATCTGAGATCTCAACAATTCTGTGGTTTCTGTAGTCAAAATGCACTAAGCAATGAATACACTTTTGTTATAAGATAACAGGAGCTTCAGGAATCTGGAAGCTTGTACTAGATATAAAAAATTATTAAATTAAAGAAATATTGTTTATATCTGATAAAAAGAGTAATTTATGTTTATAATGGCTATGTTTGTTTCGCTGGTCTTGACCCCAATAATTTGTGGTATTATTAGTTAGTGATTTTGCACTTGACAGCAATGTAGAATTTTCCAGTAGTGACTCATGACTTTTGAACTTGGTGTACGTCTATGGAAAACTGGTTTGTCTTTTCAGTCAATGTCTCTAGCTACATTGTGGTTTTATGATCATTTAATTGATCAAAATCAGTTCTGAGAGAGATAAGCTAGCAAACTAGATGATTACTAGTATGTAATATAAGGTAACAAAGAAAACAGTGTTTTATGGGGTTGCAACCCACGAAAGGAACATAGCCAGTATGCTGGACAGTTGTATTAGATATATTATGTAGTCATTTACAAGTACAAGGTGTCTGTGCCTTTGTACCAAATAAATCAATCATGCATTGTTTATAAAAAATGTCATATTAGTGTTGCTTGCTTTTTCCATTGAACTATCATGAGATTCCTCTTTAAAGTATACGCAGTCAAATTAATCTCAGGCCCGTAGCCCCCCCCACCCCCCCGGCCAAAAATTCTTTTAAAATCATGCAGTTTTTCACCATTTTGAGCACTTCTCAAGTGATTTTAGGCCATATTTGGGCCAAAATTGTCAAATGTGAACCCCCCTGGAAATTTTTGAAAACTGAACCCCCTTGGCAAAACTGGCTACGGGCATGAGTCTAGAGAAAATAGTGGTCAACAGAAGTGACAGAAGATGAGATGCAGAAGACTCAGTGATTTACTAATGAACTTGATATGAAAAGATGGTTTTTGATTGGTCCATTGGTAATCATAATGTTTGATTTTTAGGACTGCACAGTCAAATTCTGAGCTCAATAGACTGGCATGACGTTAGTCAAATTTATCAACGTTTGAAGCCCCCTGCAAAATTTGTGGCTAGAATAGAAAGTATTTTATATCTGGGAGGGCAAATAAAGGAGTATAAAATCATGGTGACTTAAAAATTAAGATGAAATCATTGTTAATAATGTTTTGTTTCTTCAATGTATACATGATGGTTGACTATCAAAGTAGCCTCTTATTAATGCCTTGGTCACATTTGCTCCGATTTTCACTACGGCACCCGGCCGATTGAGTATTTTGTTCAGAAATGTATTCAATTTTGAACAAAATACTCAATCGGCCGGGCGCCGACCGATGAATCAAGCAGCAAATGTGATACAGGTATAAAAGGAGCAGAAGTGATAAAGTTGTTGTTGAGGGTAAGTTTTGAAAACTCAGTTTTACGTATTATCTCATCATGATCATTATTCTCTAAATACATCAAAAGTTCTGACTTAATTTCAGGATTGTTCTTTGATTTTTAAAGTTATCTGTGGGGATGCCCCCTTTTCAATTCAATCAAATGATTCTGGATATCTCTTCATCATAAATCTTACCTTCAATGATCAGATATCTCAATCAATTTTTCAGAAAATAAAATTATGATTTTTAAATAGATTTCTTCCAACATTTTCACACTCTCTAATATGTCCTTTTTACTCCCTTTAATGGTGAAAGTTACTTATTCATTACTAGCCTATGAAAAAGGCAATAAAATCTAGATCAAGGGAAAGTCAGTCATACTTTTTTTTATTCATGTTTATTGTGAATAACAATTACTTGGCTACTCAGTATATACTCAGTATGAAAATGATCTACATGTATGAGCTCTAGAACAGAACACTCCTTTTCAGGATCTTTTCAAATTCTTTACACACATCCACAAGGGTGGCAATGCAACATACAACATAGAATTTTACAGTGAAGTAGAGTTATAAGAAATGGGAATAACTTTTGAAATTATGGGAATGCTCCATATTGAATAATCCAAACAGAAAAATCCACTTTTCACTTGTACCCATAAAGTCACTAAATCAGTATCTATATTTTGTTGAGTAATCCTTCGGAGACACAACAAGACCTCGCCCTTTCCTTGCGCCCCTGAAGACAGTTTCTACAATATCAATGAACTCCTGAGTGTCCTCCATAGCCCAGTTAATCTTATTATTGTTTCCAGTACCAAGATCTATCATTATATGTTTATTGCGATAGAAGAACATCACTGTGCAGGGATCATACAACTCATACATTTTATTGAAGTCTGGTACTTCTGTAATGTCCACGAGGTAGATGATGCAGAAATTTTTCAGCTTCTCAGCTGCATTCATAAGTGTTTCATCCATGGCCATACATGTTGGGTCCCAATCATGACCAAAACGAATGACTGTCAATCTTTCCTCCTCACAGAGAATGGCCTGGTCTACCTGCCATCCATTGTTCAGATGCTGGAGCATGTACGACATGGTGAAATCTGTGGATTAAGCTGTGTGCAGTCTGATTACCAGTTTGGCACCTGGAAAATATGTTGAAACAAATACTACAATTTATTATATGCAAAAATAAAAAAGAACCAAAAAATCCTAATACAACATTTTTGGCAGAGGAGAATAATGAACTGAGCTTGATGATTACACATATTGTACTTGAGGATGTTCATAAAAGGGTGATATAATGTAGGCAATGGAAAGTGTTAGATATCTTTAAGACAATGGGTGAGCCATGCATACCTACTCTATATTGTCCACTTTCATCTATAAGCATGACCTTATGACAAATGTAAGAATGGAGTTAAGGTCAAAGTTATTCGATGAGGGTGAAAAATATGTGACCTCACACTTGTTGTATGGCATTGGTTTAGTACATACTTTCTCAAATTATTGCAATAAAGAAAAAGTTACACATATCTTTAACTTGAGATTGTTTTGAATCATTATTCTCAAAGGTCTACCTTCTTGGGCCTTTTTCAGTTTGAATATTACTTTTTTCCCTTATGGTGTGGCATTAGTCCTATATTTGAAGATTTGGTATGGCATTGGTCTTATATTTTGACATTTAGTACATGTAAGCTTATGTATGGGAACATTATTTTGAACATATGACAATGACGTTCTATTATTTTGGTTGGTATGGGAACATATTGAAATTTTACAGATTGGTATGGGAACATATTGATATTTGAATGTTCAGCCTAGGACCCGGGCTAGGAACCCCGCCGAATTTCAATCCAGTGAATCCCCCAGGCCAGAAACTAATCTCTATATTTGCAACAATGAATGTCCGAATGTCCAGTATTTTGTATTTCAAGATTTGATTATTCAGGAACAACATATGATCAAATTGACATTTAACGCATTACAATGACTATTTATATAATACGAACCTCTATAATAATCTCAGAATGCCGAAATTATGACAGAAACTGCTCTAAAATGGTAAAAGTAGTTGTTAAAAAAATAAATGTCGAAATTTCTTGAATTTTGTACCCGTTTCGATATCTGGTAGCAAATACAAACTTAAAATATCAATACCAACCGCAATTTCACAAATAAAATCTATTTCAATCGATATATTTGATATTAAATATGTTCTTTCAACATGAAAAACTTCTCATACGAATAGAAAACTTTCTGTATTGACATTTTTAAGATGTAGAATTATTAATTAAAACTGATGTCTGCTAGCATAACACATCCCTCAAAAATCAAAGATGGCGGCTGTGGTTGGCCAAAATTTTCTTCGTATAGGCCGTAAGTATGGCTTATTTACTATCTTCTTTATCCTTAATTAGTGTTAATCAGTTAGTATATATGCCGCGCTATTAATGGAGTCAAATGAATGGAGAGATCAGTGAATACGAAATGAGATATATTCCATTTTGTTGATGTCTGAAATTATTTCCAGATTTTTTTTTTCAAGTTTTCCACCTCAACCTAGATCTAACCTTGAAGGTCTTTACTTCATCATCTCCGATAAGGAGCAATCTTTATTTATTTTGTTTCACATATAAAGTAAGGATATATTTGCAATTGTTTGCAATTCTACTATCTGTCGCATCGCATGTCATGATTTACATCAAAATAGACTAAACTTACATTTATAAATTAGATCATACAGTAGACTAGTCTTCAAAGGCAAGCAGTTGAACCTGAAAAATTAGAAATCTGTAGACTAAGTCTATCGTGCCACAATATATAGAAAAATATATTCATATTGCACAAGAATTACATTTGTATATTTCAGATTATTTAGTGTTTAGTGCAATAAGCCTGTGCCCTCTTGTAATTTGAGGTCTATCTGCCATGTTATTTTTTCAGAATTAACATGGCAGAGAAGCATCAAAATATAAGAGGTTACAGACTTTATGTTATCCTTTCCGATGTTTTGACTAAGATATACAAATGTCATTCGTGTGCAATATCAATATATTTTTCTTTATATTATTGCACAATAGTCTTTAGATTTCTTATTTTTCAGGTTCAACTGCTTGCATTTGAAGCAGTTTGACAGACTGTAGATAAAAACAGTATTTTTAGAATCTAGTTCTAATATGGGCTTTCAAGAGAAAATTCAGGCATCCTGAAACTTTTATTAATTTTATTACCTTCTATTGGAAGACCTCCCGCGATGCTCAAATCCTGAAAACAGTGAGTAGCATATGTATAGATAGAAAGCCTTTGGCTCTTATGGTTCATGAAAATATTTATTTATTTTAAGGCCACCAGGCACCGCCTGTTCTAGCTACTGCATATGTCCAAAAAAGAGATGCCAGTTCAACAAGTCTTACAGCAGTTAAAAGGGGACGGGGTGGTCGGTCATCTTTCAGTGGTGTCGTGGCAACTGTCTTTGGAGCTTCAGGGTTCATTGGAAACTCAGTTGTCAATAGATTAGGTATGTATTTTCTAGGATGACTACTTATTATAACTAATATCTACAACTTGAAATTAGACACATATCTGTCTTAAGTAAGTCTGTATCTATATAAAGTATATACATGTACCGTACAACCTATATAAATTTATGTAATTTACATGTATAATTTAACATTTCAGGTAAAATTGGATCTCAGGTGATCATCCCATACAGAGGAGACCCCTATTGGTGTCAAAAGTTAAAACTATGTGGGGATTTGGGACAGATTCTGTTTCAGGTGAGTGATCACTTATTTAATTCTTCGTTGTATTTCTCTATGAAATATCACTTTAAGCCTTGGGACTTGTGTAAGTTTCGTTACCTATTAACATGTAAAATGAACTTCTGTAAGTGGAACACATTTGAAGTTGAATACTATTTTGAGGTACCAAAAACATTCCACTCACACAAATTTACTTTTATTGTGGCTCAATGTCAAGTTTCAAATTTTCAGCCATACCAAGTTACAGATGAAGCATCTATAAGGAAGGCACTGAAGTATTCTAACACTGTCATCAACCTCGTAGGTAGAGACTGGGAAACCAAGTAAGTACAACGTATTATCCAAATATGTGAAAAGTACTGTGACCAAAAATTGTGTTATATCAAGAGATTTCTTAAGAGGTTTTGATGAAATTGGAATTGATGGATAATTGAGCGTTACCCCTGCTTCAGACTTTGATTTTTTTACATTATATAGATTTGAATGTCTTCTTTTGAATAGTCATAATTTTAATTTGGATGATATTTCTAGATTTTTGATAAAGAAATTATTAGCGCAATACACTGATGAACTTCTTTCTCCAAATCGAGACTTGTATTTATTGAACTGGTTTACTGCATGTTACGCCTGCTTCAGAAAATTGTAATATTTTTACATCTTGTAGATTTAATGTCTTCTTTTGAATATTCATAATTTAATTTGGTTGATATTTCTGCATCATTCATGAAAAAAATATTCGCCCAGGAGACTGTTCTCCAAACCGAGACTTGTCCTTTGTATTGAAAAAAATTCAAATTCAACAACAGATATCGTTTTGAATGTGAAATGGAGTATTAATATTATTTGTAGCATTACCTAATAACAGAATGAATTTTTTGTAGAAACTTTAAGTTTGATGATGTCAATAACAAAGCTGCAAGATTAATTGCCAAAGTGGCCAGAGAAGAGGGAATTGAAAGACTTATTCACTTCTCAGCTCTCAATGCTTCTGACTCGCCACAAAAGATTTACACTAAAGAAGGATCAGAATTTCTTCGTACAAAGGTAGAGTATATGATTCTTGACCTATTCAGAAGTTGACAGTTAAAATTATATCCCAACATTGACTAAACACATTTTGCAGAACTAAGTTTTAAATTAGTCGTATTGGAGAGGTCTTGTAGTTGTTTTGTTAGACAGCAAAATATGATTATAAAGGGTATGCTAACTTGCACTCATTTATAACAAGTTTCATGATTGTATACTATTGAAATACATTGAAGAAATGATAAAACACTAAAATCTCTTGGACTCCTTATCTGAAAATGGAAATAAATGGGATGGGCTTTTAAGCGTTTGGAGGCAAATCACATTCCATGTTTTTCTGGATTTCGATTAATCTGACCATATTATTCACCATAAGTTTCATTGCTAATTGACCACAAAACTATGGAATACCAACAAATGTAAAATTACATTATTATGGGATTCAAATAAATTCACACTTACTTCTCACATTAGAAAAAAGATGACTCAGACCTTTTAATGTTTTTCCAAAATTTTAGACATAAAAAACAGTTAACTGAATCCACCGATATAAGTTTCTTGTGAATCTACAATTCTTTGATATCCAAATATATGAATCAATTCAATTACAATATCCATAGCTAATTAAATTTCAGTTTTAATGACATGAATTTGTTTTCTTTTAACACATCATATGCAACCTGTTCTTTTAATTAGTCTTATAATTAGATTTCTGTCAATTCTATTTGATCATCTTTTTAGAATAACTTATCTTTAAAAATGTCTTGAAACATTTTGATCTATCTAAGCAGTGATAGTTCAACTTTTCATATATGACTGTTCACCATTCAAAACGAGACAAGTTCACATTTTAATTTTTTTAACAGGGGAGTCAATGGAATGGAAAAAAATGGTGAAGTTGTGAGGATTGTTAAGCTTTTAGCCACAATGAATTGTTTCAACAAAATTATTAAAATATTGGGCTTTTCTCTTATTTTTCTAGGCAGAAGGTGAGAATGCGGTCAGGGAAGAATTCCCAGATGCCACAATCATCCGCCCCTCAGATGTCTTTGGTCGCGAGGATCACTTCTTTTACTACTATGCCAATGCGGCCAGGCGATCTAGAGTCCTCAACACTATGCCAATGTGGGAGAAAGGAGAGCGCACCATTAAACAGCCAGTCTTTTTGGGTGATGTTGCTGAGGGTGTCATCAATGCACTACTGGATCCAGATGCACCTGGGAAGGTCTATGAAGCCGTTGGTCCTCATCAGTACTACTTGTGTGACCTGGTGGATTATTTCTATAGAATTATGAGATGGAGGAATTTCAAGCGAACCTATATGTTCCCAACCTTTTGGTATGTACACATATATAGGCTTAGATTTTTTCACTTCAACTAAGCTTTATCACAATGGATTCTTGGATATACAGGGTGAGCCAAAAAAGGTAACCCAAACAAATCTTAATAACTCAAGTCTTCCTGCGTGTCATATTTGGCACAATTAAGCCTTGTCTAATGTATTGTCATTCTATCAAGTTTCAGTGGTTTATCTCTAGTGGTCACAATTTTATGAAAAGATGCCATCAAATATGGGCATCATTTGTCTGGAGGCCAACTTGAACGTATTGGGCGTAGTTGTTTACAACATGAGCATAAACATCCTGTGTTATGGCTCTCATCTTCCTTCTTATCTCTTGTTTCAATCTTTCAAGGAATGTTAGTGTAGACAATAGGCCCACAGATAAAAATCTGATGGGATTTATGTCTAGTCAGTACGGCACATTTCGGCATTTTATACATGACCATAAAATTGTGACTATTAGGGACAGACCAATGACACGTAGTAGAATGAAAGAACATTGAACAATTGTGCCAAATATGATGTTAAACCCGTGCAGAATGACTGAGTTATTAACATAAAGTTGTTTGGGTTACCTTTTTTGGCTCACCCTGTTTAAGTTAAGTTGGGAAAGTCAAAACGAAACAAAATTTTAAGTTTACATTTATAAGCCCTTTCTCATCATGGAATGCTTACTTAAATAATTTGGTATTTTAAAGTTGACAACCGATAGAAGTTACATTCTTCTTAGAACTAAATGTATTTGCTTATTTCATAGCTCTCCAAAACATGTGATTACTTTTTGTTTTGCCATTATAATATTGAGTTCTTTTCCAAATGTGTCTACAATATAAATAATAAATATATTCCATAGAATAATAAGATATATTATTATATATAGACGTAATACAAGTGATATATGTATCATATATGATTGCAGGGCTAAGGTTGCAGCCATGAGCCAATTGCCAAATAGACCTCCCCTCTCTCCAGATAAAATTGAACGGGTAAGTTATGATGTTGTAGAAACATGTGTATGCTTATGACTTATCAGTGATCACTTTAGACATGTGAATATACCCAGTGGTGTAGCGTGGGTATTTTGTGGGTGTACGCCAGGAGTGAGTGAAGCGAACAAGCTTTGAGGGACCCCCCAAGAAAAATTTGAAAATTATATTGCATTTGTGGAATTTTGGTGCGTTCCAACAAATATGGACTAATATCAAGTAAATTATTGGCCATTTTATCCATTTTTAAAGTGTGGCATGGCGTTTTATGCGTATATGACGCTATGCCATTGATGCCATATGGTAAATGGTAAAATTAGAATTTCGCATGTGTGCCAGTCAAGTGATGAAAATCTGAATCTCTCCTACCTCCCAAAATAACCATGTATGCTTATTGATATATGATTTTAGATAGTTATATCTTTGACTAGCGGGTTTTCTTTATCACATTTCAACACCTTTCTTATGTCCAGGTGGGTTGCTAATGATAATAAGATCTTGCAGTAAGATTGATATGCATCCATTTCACAAGGAGGAAAGATATTATTTTAATTAAAATCAAAACTATGGTTGGAAAATTCTCATTGTCATAGATATAATTGTCAAAATAACTGAAAAGCTGAAAACAACATAGATTCTTGGATGGTTCCCCTAAACATAAACTTTTCAGAACAGATTGACACAACTATACTGTATTTATATCTGAGCACATCTTTTACTTTCAGGAGTTTATCACAGACCGACCAACTGGTTGTCCCACGCTAGAAGACCTTGGTGTGAAAACCCTCACAAGTATAGAAAAACGCGCCTTTTACGACCTTAAAGCCTTCAAAGCAAACGCATACTATGATGAAAACTTAGGCGAATTTGCAGAGGCTTCTCCTCCACCAAAATATGTCCCTGCGTGATGAAATAAAGACTTAGGAAATAATTTATATGTTAATATGTTCATAGATTGGACTGAAGTGAGCTATATAGTTGTTACTAGTGAAAATCCCAAATGCTGTTTATAAAGACATGATGGCCAACCAAAATTCTGTCATTATTAGCTTGATGAACTTTTGAAAATAAAACCTCTGTGATGAATATATTTACCATTTTCTGCTGTATAAATGTCATATGGTATATGAAATTCAGATTAAAAGCCTCAGATCCTCTGCCAAAACTGTTTTATGACATGTAAGAGGTGTATTTAACTGGACTATCATACCTATTTGTAATAGTTTGGATTAGCACTTATAGCAGTTACACTGCCAAAGTTAATATTATGTTATGCAGTAATGCCTACTTTGCAAAATAAATGAATTTCAAAACACTAGCAACTTCTTTGGCTATTACATTATTACCTAAATGTAGTGACATACTGACGCTTTTATGTCACCAACAAGAAGTGGTGACACTAAATGCTGAAATACTTAAATGCCACAAAATGATAAATTAAGACATTTTCTATTCAAATCTTCCTTTCTTTTGAGTTCATGCAATACCTATTGGTTATAGTGATAGTAATCATTGTAATAAATTAAGGGACTTTCACATACAAGATAGTTTACTGTCTCTAATATTGTGTGGATCATGGTTGTGATATTCTGTTGTGTAAATGCCTTAATTATTTCAAATGACACATCAATCAGCTTTAACTCTGCATTGCAAAACTGGTTGCATTTTCCCCACAATTAGTTTATTTGTTCAGTTTTTGAACCAGAATCTAAATAAACCATACCGGTAATTAGATTAAATCAACACTATTTCATAAATGATTGAATTCTCTTGAGAGCCCATGTAATGATTGAATGAAGATAGTCCATCTGGACCAGTGTAACATTTACCAAAGCTTACTGTCCCTAAATTATTTAACAAATTGAAATTAATTAATTCACAAAACACATGATATTATTGTTATAATAGAGTATAATTTATTAAATATGATTGTTCTATCATGACTTTCTCGGAAGTTCTATTGTACAGGGTTATGACACAACTAAAATACATTATTTGTTATACTTGTAAAACATTCATTTTTACCTACATTGCATACATACATGTACATACCTACCCAAATTATTTAGAGTGAACCCCCGGGTGTTCTATTGCACGCTTTTATGACACAACTAAAATACATTCTTATTAAATATTCATTTTTTACCCTAGGATTATTCAACTTTTGTAAGAAATACGAGTACTTTAATTTTTAAAGGTAGAATCCTAGATATATAGAGAAACCTTTTTATCTCACATCATCTTTGTCATTTTTATTTTCTAAAATTCGCAAACTTCAAAAATGAAGAGAATTTTGATATTTTATAACATTTTTGTTCCCATTAAATAAAAATTGACCAATCAGTATCATACTTTTGCATTACTTCATTATGGATGCGCTGGCACCCTCTATATCTTGGATTCTAGGTTAATACCTAATACAAGAGGTATAACCATTAGGTTAATTACAAAATATCAGATGTTTCATATCAAGACAGTACAAGATGCAATGTCATGATGACCTTTGATGCTATATGTATATGATTTTACATATATAAACTTGGGCTAGCTCGTGTAGACTATATGAGAGCGCTAGATTTTTTAATAGAGGCACTGTCGTTTGAATATACATAATGTAATATTAATGCTGACAATGGTAAGATAACGTAACACATCCTCAGGTATCTGAGCATTTCTTTGAACGCCTTAGCAATAATACATCTGCAGTCACTTTAACACAAATAGATACATTATAAACTTCAGAAGTTACTCAAGCACATCTGCAGATTGGCCACACAAGTAATACAGAGTCTGAGATACATGGAGTTTGCAATATATAATACATGATGCATTGTTAATATGCTGTCTTAATGTTCTAATGTGTTTATAATCCATGAATAGCTAAGACATATAAATATCTATGACTTAAATAATGATGAGTTTATGGCATTGCTAATCGGGAACTATTTGGCATATGGACAAGCAATGGCACAAAGAATGTCATCTAACTTTGCTGAAAATCCCATAAATATTTACATTTTCCCCATTATGTCATACATGTGTCATGTAATATTGCTGAAAATCCCGTAAATATTTACATTTTCCCCATAATATCATACCTATTTGCAGATTTGCTAGGTCCTATATTTTGATTGTTGTAAACAAAAAGCATTTTTATTCATAAAGAATGACTAACTAAATTTACATTATTAATTACATACAATGTACAGGGTGTTCAAAAAAAAAACGCAACCCAAAGAAATCGCTATATCTTGGAAAATACTAGTCCAATTGTGTTCATTTTTTCAGGAAAGAAAGAAGAGACTGTGTATGTATAGCTCATGTTGTCAGTTAGTTGTAAAACATGATGCCTTGAACAAATGCTCAAAAGACATTAGTATTGGAAAGATACGAAAAACGCAGTCAGAGACTACTGCCACAGCAATAAAACCAAATAACTTTCTAACCATAGTGTTTTGGCTATTCAAATTTGGCACAAATCATCTTCATTCAATGTATGATAAATCTGTAGAGTGAAATCAAAATCACTCCAGGGACTTTACAGTTTTGGTCGAAATGCTTTCAAAACCCAGTCAAACACCCTGGTTCAGCCAGACTTAAGAAGGCATTCTGACCATGACTGTAAAGTCCCTGGAGTGATTTTAATGAAACTCCCCCAATTCACTACACATTATATGAAGATAATTTGTGGTGAATCTGAAGTGCCAAAACACCATGGTTAGAAAGTTATTAGGGTTTATTGCTCTGGCAGTCACCTCTGGTTGCGTTTTTCGTATCTTTCCAATACTAATGTCTTTTGAGAAGGTGTCCAAAACATCATGTTTTACAACTAACTAACAGCAGGAGCTACACACGCATAGTCTCTTCTTTCTTTCCTGAAAAAATGAACACAATTGGATAAGTATTTTCCAAGATATAGCGATTTCTTTGGGTTGCGTTTTTTTTTAACACCCTGTACTACGAATTGTTCATTTAATGAAGCACTACTTTGACAATATAAGCAATATACATACATACTTGATATATTAAATGCATTTTAAATATATATGTATCATTATATTAGTAGATATATAGTACAGTATAACAATAATATGATATTATATCAGATTCAATCTCTTGAGATCAAAAGTTTTTATACCATAGCATTTGCTCTGTGTATAATCCAGGTCTATTTTAGGGCCTTTTTGGGCATAATTTGGCTTGCCTTTTTAGACCTTTCTAAGGCCAAATTATCAAAAAATGGGCCTTAAATTTTCAACATTAGGGCCCAATTTTTGATTTTAAGGGAAAATGTTTAGCTGACTCAAAATTTGCCCCCCCCACTTGTTAGCTTCTGGATCCACCAATGGAACCCATCCAATTTATTGCAAGGTATATTCTTCCCTAATCACCAAATGCTGTACCACAGTTTATATTTGATAACTATTGAACCACCCAGCAACCAGAAACAAAACTATTTTATCACTGGAAAGTGGAAATGTTTCTTTTCTAACCGATACAAGCATTCAATTATTAGTATCCATAATGAAAAGTTACCCTAGGTAGATTGAATGGTTTAGGATGGTTCAGTTCAATTCAATCATAGTTTGTAGTGACTAGTATTAGTATGTCATTGTTGTATTGTATATCTAAATGTTAGAATGTTTATGTTTCTCTATGCGCAGTTTACTCTGACATATAGCTCAAATGCCATAATAAAAGTCTAAAATCACTCACATATAATTATTGAGAAATACCGGTAAAAATAATTGAACTTTCACTATTTTCAGTCATTGCTAATAAAGAAATTATAAGTGGGATTTTGATGCCATAACAACCAGATAACAACTAATCCAACTTATCAAAACAGTTTCCATCCAAGAACTTTCACCACTCTTGCTACCTAAATCAACTTTTACATTAATTACGTCATGTTATGGCTGTAGTTTAGTATAAAAACAGAGCATATTTAAGAACAAAAATGAATAAAATTGAGCATTCAAAATGTTTCAGTAATATTCCTGTGCATTGTACCCACAATTCTTAGCAATGGTGGTGCACTTCACCCATAAATCTCAGCAATGGTAACACCTTAAATAAATGCGTAGTATGTTGGTGACATTTCCCAATTATCACCAACTATAGTTCAGTGTGGCTAATAACCTTGGGTCCAGTGGGTTTCTTTGAAATACTTTTCAGCATGCTGCGGGCGATAATATGTGCCGCTTCACGGTAGTTGGAGTCCAGAGTGAACCATAATGCAACGGCACAGCGTTTGCCTTTAATAACTGGCTGCACACCGTGCAAGTTTGATGCGTTGAATGAGACTATTCTTCCACACTTTGGCTTCACTTCAGACTAAAACACAAAGAAACAACATGTACATTTAAACCTGTGAACACCTCTCTCTAGTGAACACCTGTGTCTAGTGAATACCTCTTCTCAGCTCATACTCCGCTGAATTTGTATAAAATCACATCCCTGTAGTGAATACCTAACTATAGTGAACACATTTTTGAAGCTCCATATAGGTATTCACTCAACTTCACTGTACACAGGTTTTACTGTATTATGTAATTAGACAGGGACATCATCAGGGGTCTATAGAGATAAATCATTTAATTTTTATTATTTTAAGTATTTGTCTAAGGTCCGAACTCTTTCAACCCTATAATATTAGGCTGAATTTGGATAAATATTAGACTACAGTTGAACTTTTTAATCCGTTTACGAAAATGGGTCCATTTCGGTGACAAAATGTTGCAGCCTCAAACGCATGATTTTTTTCATGAATACACAAGATATAGGCAGAATCTTCCAAACCTTGGCACAAAAGTGTGTCAGCATCATATGCACAAAAGTGTGTCAGCATCATATGCACAAATGTGTGTCAGCATCACATGCACAAGTGTGTCAGCAATATGTGCACAAATGTGTGTCAGCATCATATGCACAAATGTGTGTCAGCATCATATGCACAAATGTATGTCAGCATCATATGCACAAATGTGTGTCAGCAGTATATGCACAAATGTGTATCAGCATCATATGCACAAATGTGTATCAGCATCATATGCACAAATGTGTGTCAACATCATATGTGCTGACAGATTGAAAAGTTGTACTACAGTGAAGTAAACATGAGGTGTTTTTATCAAAGAAATCGTATAGCATGTATACATACCTTTTTAGGGGAGGGACTTAAAACATTTATAACAACACCAGGGGCGTAGCCAGCTTTCAGTCAGCGGGGTGCGATTGCCAAAAGAATTTGGGGTTTTCAGTCAGGGGGGGGGGTGCAATTGTGACATAAGCGAGTCAAAAAACATCTTTCAAATTTGAGCTAGAAGCTTCAAATAAAACAATCGCACCCCCTGGCTACGCCTATGAACACATTAACACTTGTAAACTACAAATCTATTTTGTGGTATATCTCACCTGAATTGTTTTATTGGGGTAGTTGAACATGAAGTTTCCTCCCTCAAAGTCGCCATTCAAGTACACCAAAGCACTGAAACACAAGTCCAATCTTGAGTTAACTCAAAGTAGTCTTAGGATGAGATAGCTTGCAAATAACATTGATCAAAATATTTCATAGTGTTTGGCTCTTTCCATACACCCCCAATCTGCAACATAATCTTGAAGCGCTGTACATCGCTGTAAACAGTACTGAACATTGCGATGTACTGTGCTATTCTAGCATCACCTATTTCGAACAGCGGTCATGTATGAATCATTAATTCTGCACAGTGATCCCCTTCAAAGATTTTTAAACATTCAGGGAAAAAATTGTAATCAAATAATTCTTTCTCAAATTAGAGGCTGTTCCATCAAAATGCATACCTTAAGTTAGACATGTTATTTTCACTGGTTCAAAATGAATCATGAAGGTATGAGTGTATTGTCTTAAAATAAAGATGAGAGAAAAATACACACATATACAATATACATGCTGCCATAGAATTTCACCATACCTGTAGTCTCTCTGTACATATGCTGGTCTCTCTTTCTTACAAGTTCCATCAGGGAGTAACAGACAGTTATCCCCATGTATAGGGTGGCTTAGATCCTCTCTGTTTATTCCTCCTGAAATATAATGTTGATATATTGTAATTCATGACATAGAATACACTGATCCATTGGCGTATCCAGGGGGCCCATGGGGGGGGCCCATGGGGGGCCATGGGGCACAGTACTTTCCTCTCCAGCATTAGATGAAGAGGACTCTGATAAACAGAACGCTTACACAGTAATAAGCATCTTTAAAGATGAGCAAGTTTCACCGTGACGATTTAGAGCATGACTCACCTTACAATAGGCCCCTTGGTTATTTCATTTACAATATTCTCTACGAAATGCACAATGAGTATGGTATAATAATATATGTATATAAGAGAGGATACAAGATAATTTAATTGGTTAAATAGTTTATAAACATTGTTCATAATCAACACTTCGTCTTAAATTTAAAATGCATTGCATTGATGTTATTTGATTAGTTGAGAATATGTTTTACCTTCCAATGCAGTTCTGCAGACTAGATGGGTGAAGTCAAAGTAAAGTGGTTTATCGCCAACAAAATACTTCCTTGCAAGATCCCTTGCCTTGTCAGCCACATCTAAATACAGCTGTACCCACTCAGGATCAACATCTGCATTCTGAGCAAGCTGTGAAAAAACATATGCACATTCATTTTACAAGTATCAACTATCTGAGACTTGAAATTTAGGTGAGATTCAATTTTTTAAAAATATGGGCAATTTTAATGACTACAGTATGAGTTAATATGATAAGAAAAAGAAAACGTATAATTGCTTTTAAAATCCAGATGACTTGAAGTATGGACAACATTCACTATCCCTACATGTACATATACATCTCCTATCAGATAGAGACAATATAAACAAGGCATTAACATGCAAAATGTCACCACTTGCTATTTGTTGTAGACTCTGACCACCGAACACTGAATGATGAACACCATCCAAAAAAGCTGGAGACTATAACAATATGTCACCACTTGCGGTGGTGACATAAAAATTCCCATGTTGGTAAATCAAAATAAATAAATTGGACTACACAAATGTTGCTGGAATTTGGTTTATTCTGAACTGAAACTTTTGGTAAGTCCAATCTCTTTACAAAAGATGTTAAAATGTTTAGTTATCTCAATGCCTGAACATCTTGGTTGATTCAATGGCTTAATAGAAATGATTTGCAAAAACTGAACAAAAGCATTTAGTTTATCAATAATGGTCTTAAAACATGGGTTATTCAGGACCTTTAGTTTTGTAATGCTTCCTTTAGAATTTGTATACCTGTGCTGAACGTATGACAGTAAGACCTTCAAACATCTCATGCTCCGTGTGTGGAGACCCCTTCACCTTGCTTTGCTTGTACCCATCACCAAAAAGAGACCCCTGCTATAGTTACAAATGAAAGCCGAAGAATGAGAAACAAGAAAACGGTGATGAAAGTGAACTCCAAAGAAAAATACTGAGAAAGAATAGTCTTACATCAAGCCAGTCCAAACATAAAGGAAATCTACGAGGGTTGTCATTGGAGCTTAATGTAAGACACTAGAAAAAAGATATACAACATTTTCATTTCAATAGTCAAAATGAAAATGGTTGCATCACTATGTACACAGACACCAGAATTGGAAATATCCATAAAGCTTCTATAATCAAATTATCTGCTTTCTTTTTTAATTTTTATCAATATTGGCACTAATCTAAAGAAAACATCCAAATATAACATTGGGATCACTTAGAGATAAGAGTGATATAATTGAATCATATATGACCTTCTGGAATAATTAGTAACCTATAATAAGAATGTTTAGTCTTCGGTATCTCTAACAGATCGGATATTTACTTATAGAAGCCTTTTAGAGGTAAAGCTGAAAGCTTATAATTACATTATTTTACAGTGAAGAGCCTGTGCAGTGCTAAGTGTGTCTGAAGCCCCTGTGTTGAATAAATACAAACAAGAAATGTGTTGTACAAAAAAGGAGTAATTAACCTAGAAAAAAGAATATGTATGAATATGAACATATTTCATGGTTTATACGATTTAAGATCAAAATTTTCTGATTGAAAGAAAATACTGCTATGTCAGTTCTAATTTTCTATACATCTACATATTTATTTTGTAAGGACCATGAAATAGTTTTTAACTGGCAGATTTATTTATATCATGTCATCTTATGATATGTTACAGAGTAAGATTGCTGAAAGTTGTAAAGATATAGTGTAGTGTGAAGATATAGTGTAGTGTTATAAGGGATGTGCCTTATCACTCAAGGATAAAATTGGAAAATTCCACTAAGATCTAAAGTATGATTTTACCACTTTTGAAAGTATTTTGCCAGTAGTTAATTCATATCCTTATCAAGGCAGTACCCTTTAAAAGAATGAACACTGAAACAGTTGTTGATAGGACAACATTCATACACCATCAGACAACACCATTATAATATCTCCATGACAACAGTCAGTTTCATAGTAACAGCTATTGATTGCTTGTTGAATTATTTGATTACTGTGACAATATGTGTTTTCATTAACTAGATAAGTGTCACAATAATTTTATCATCTGCTTTGACAAAACTTTGACCTCGCTGACTTACTATGACAAAATTTGGGCTGTTATCCCTATTATAAATCAATCAGAAAATCATGAAAGCAACCCTGTAGATGTAACTATGAAAGCACCCACGTGACAACAACTAAGAATAAGCTAGAACAACAGCAGTGTAGTTTCCATGGTGATAGATTTATACCTCAGAAGCCTTAGTAACATCGAGTCCTGCAAATATCTCATGACTTGTATGAGGTGACGTCCCTGGTTTGTTTAATGATTTATATCCATCGCCAATTGTTGCTTTCTAATAGATGGAATATTGTATATAATCACTACATTGTACATATAACAAAAAAGAACAGCAAGCCTAAATCCAGCAAAGCAAAGTATTCTGGAAAATCATAGAATACATTTCTGCACAATTTAACATTTAAGACACAAACAGATAACTGATTTTCAATAATCATAATTCACAATATTTTCAATAAAATGACCTCGATAATAACATGGATATTCTAATAATAACACACATATTTCTTAAAATACAATTAACCTATACATCTACAATATGCTGAAAGTAGCATGTTAAATAGAAGGGATGGTGAAAATCTATACCTGTGCAAGCTCTATGAGGGTGTTACATTGGTCCTCAGTCAAAATGCCATCAGCTGCAAACCTGCGTAAAATAAATATATGAAGATCAAAACACTGACATACACATATTGTCATGAATGAGAAAACTTGTGCCACCCTAATCCACATCATCCCAGGTATCTTTGTCCAGCACCCTATTTGTAAGGAAAATATACCACTAGTCAAATACATAGACCCAAATAAACCAGTAAAAAGAAAAATGAGAAAACTTGTGCCACCCTAATCCACCTCATCCCAGGTATGATGTCTTTGTCCAGCAGCCTAAGGAAAATATACCTCTAGTCAAATACATATACCAAAATAAATCAGTACAAATAGTGACATTCAAATGATCATAATTATGGAAAACTATTCAATGCATTTTGTTTCATCTATTCTTATATTAAGAGCATTAGAAATGATGCAGGCCATAGTTGCAACAATATCATTATTATAATTTTGACATTACATCACAGATGAAATAAATGTTTAAATTAATAAGTAAATAAATCCATGGTTATGAAATACTATATATTCTAATATGATATATGTGATGTCACAATAGCTAGAACAATTGATTTACTAGTCTATATTGGAGTATGTATGACCGGTAAAATTCAGAAATGCAAATAGTTGTGTCTTTTGTCTGTTATCATATTAGAATCGTGATTTATGTCAAATATATGACCTCAAATTTTATTCTGGCCATTGCCAAAGACCTCAATAGCTACACGATTCCTGTCTTTTAACAATGAACAGAATAAAATTTTCGGTCATATATAACGCCATAGATCATAAAATCTCGGTCTTTATTCTTTAAATATAGAATGCTATCAGAGACGAACCTTTCAGTGCCATTGAGTAAAACTTCATCTCCAATGATCTTCACACCATGCCCTTCATACTCCTTGATACCCTCAGGGTCTACTGGATAAGTCTTGATAAGGTCCTCTGGGTTAACGCCTCTGTTCCTGGGGGGTACTTCCTCTGGGTAGTCCTGAAACAATCAAGAAAACATTACGTACAGTATGAGACACATATTTCAGTTTTTTACATATTGTAAAATGTCATTCTAACTGTACACCTACTCTGTTCTCTTTGTCAGTGCAGTTTTAGTATGTTTGAAAAAATAAAAAACACAGCTTAATTACATATAATTTAAAGTGAAAATCAATGAATACAATTTGTAAATTTCTCAGCAGAATCTCTTCCATTTTGTTTGGCCAAAGGTTCCTTTTCCATGATCATTTAGTTGACTGTATGCTCATGGAGTTTCACATTTATAAAACTGGACATATAATATTTGATAAATCAAGAAATTAAATGACTTGTATCAGTTTTCTCACTGAACTCTTAACAAATATCAGGCCCGTAGCCAGAGGGGGGGGGGGCCAGAAATTATTTCAAAATCATGCAGTTTTTCACCATTCTGAGAATTTTTCGCATGATTTTAAGCCAAAACTGTGAAAAAGCTCCCCTTCCTGCTACGGGCAAGAATATGGCTGATAAATATTGCTACTGCCATCTATATTTCAATCTATATAGCAAGTGGCTTATTACAAGGCATAAATATCATAACTTAATCACAATTTTTTAATTTCATTCTGAATTTATATTCAAAATGAAGTGAATTAGACCAGTCAGCCAAAACCAATTAAGAAAATACAAACACATTTCTACTAATGTCCAAACATTTACTAAAATGCACAACACTTTAATTCAGTCCAGAAACATTTTTTCAAAGTAACCAGCCGATAAAAAATGATGAATGTTGGATATCGTTTTACTTCATTATAATCAGGTACATCATCTATATTGGCCATTAAACCACATCAAAGTCGAACCTGAGATTGTTTACCAAAATAACAGACTCTGCTTCATTAATAATCAGCCACTTTAATTGGTTTCCCACTTGAATAAAAAAGGACTTTTAAGCAGACACATTAATTTGAGGGTGCATATATTAAAGGGCTGTTTAGTAGCACCCCACTGGTTGAACATTAGCCCCCACATACAGCTAAACCTTAAGAGGACCTTGGTTCATTCAGACCTGAGACTGACTTTCAGTAAAGGAATATTTCATAACCACAATTGAAGATTTTCCAAACTGCTGTAAATGCTAAAAGAACCATATTTTAAATGTACAATATAAGAAACACCATGGGGTTTCTGGAGAAAAATATATGTGATCAATCAGCTTTGAATTATAATTCATTGAATCATTTAAACAATTATTTGAATGATAAATGATATTTTCACGAATGGATACTCAAAGTCAACTTGTGTGGCTATTATATATCAATTAAAGCATAATAGATTAGAAATGATTTACAAAATACATAAATGGCTGAAACTTTTTTGCACTTATAAAAACTAGTAATACTAAAATTCATCATTATTTATTTTTATTTGGAAATCTGTCACTGATTTTGATTTTTAAGTGTTTTATTTTCAACATATATTTTACTTTTATGGATTGCTTTCTGGGAGGTGCGGCCATTCTAATATACTTCCATGACAGAATCGTGATCCCTTAACAGTTTTATTTGCTTGTGAGGACAGGAATTTTGAGAAAACATGTATATTAAATCAATTAAACCAGGGTGGGCAGCACTTTAAAGTCTGTTAATTTTTATAAGAAATAAATTATCTTCCAAAAATGGCATGACAATTATGGAATTTAACCAGATTTCAATCATTTTTTATTCATTTTTAAAATTTTTTAAATTATGAGAATAATTTTTTCATAAAAGCAGCAATATATCATTTCATGAGATAACATATTTTACAACAGTGGTATACTACTCATATGTTGACGTTATCATCAATTTATTTACCTGTATCTATATTGCATTTATAAACATTTAAATAAATAAATAAGTAAATAAATAAATAAAGATAAATAGACAAATGTTGATGTGTAGACAGGACTGTCAACAATTTATTTAATTAACGATCCTGAACTTTTTGATCTGTGGATCATACTTTTTTATATCTCGTGGGAACATTACATTTAAAAATTACTTATCTTATTTATTTTGAACCACATGGTAAAACGTGAATCAATATTTAATTGTTTTAATCAATTGTTAAATTTTAAAACTCTATACTTAATTAGTTTAATCAAAAACTTTGCTTTTATTACATGTACTCCTTTAAAACAACAACAAAAATATGGGTAATTATCAACAATTCCTACTATGAGTATAATTTCCCCTAACAAATTCCAAATAGTTCACCTCAGACATCATCATGAACATATGTCCATTTTGTATCACCTTACTCCCAAAACAAGCATTCTTAAACTAAACAATACATGGAGGTACATAAAAGGTATCAAATTAAAAGGAATAGGGAGTGGAACAATAAATACTCAATTAGGTCTTTCTACTCTTAATATGTGCTTGGTATAATGATAGGCCTTGATAAATAGAAATTGTCAAATATGATACCCATTCTTTAACAATGCAAAGTAGTGGGTTACTGGTGTGATCCACTTGTCAGTGATGTCCCTATACATGTATACTAGGATTAGAGCAATTGGTACTGTATTATGCTGAATATTGAAAATTAGACGCCACCCTGTTGGAAAGTTACAGCCATTTAAAAAATGAAATATTGAGATATTTTGACTAAAACAGGTGAAATTCTGATTAAGCAACTCGTTGAAAGAAATATGTAGATCACTGCCTGTTCTTGCATAAAATATCCATAGTATGAAGTGATACCACTACCAGCGCATCCTTTGCAAGGGAATTGAATCGGAGTCCATAAATTAAAAGAAATGGTGATGAGGATAGGAATGGACCACCTAAAATACATGGACTTTGGTCCGGAGTCTTTTCAATCAGTGTCTCCTCAAACTTCTTTTAGATAGGATTCTAACTAAAGCTTAACCTGGGTGCAAATTCTAAACAAGGTGTATAGTGTTGGTTTCATTTTCAAGAAAGAGCCCATTTTGGCCATGTTCTGTTGCCTTTATCTACATTTATCCTCAATAAGGAAGTTAATGTTAATAAATTTAGAACGAATCTTGAATATTTTACGTGAATAATTATATAGGGATTCTATATCTTTTCAAAGTTAGCACATAATTTCTTACATTTCTCTCCAATTTAGACATTGTAACGCAACACCTAGATATACTATACATCGATAATTTCTTTATATGCTGGCCTTTGTTATTTTATGTTTGTATCTTGACATTACAATCATATTTTATAAAGTTCTTATTCAGATCATAATGAAATTTGTGATTTATGGGCTTAAGGTAAAGGGGGATTGTGGAGAATATTCAATGTACTGAGGTCAGCAGGTTTATGATGTGGCACATTTATTATCTCAGTATGAAGAGGATAAAAATCACTTCTGTGATTGAAAATGATTCTAAAGAAAATTAAAACAAGATTTTATGTGAACATTTTCCAGTTATTGAATATGAATCTTAGATATGTTTTACATGTATATCAAATCTCCACTGTCAAATCATTTATTATATAACATTCATCTCTGACTCTACCTATTTCATTAGGTCAAATTACTCAACTAATAATATATAAATAGTAAATACAAAAAAATGAACAAAGATGTGAGTAAATGTCAACATTCCCTAGTACAAGTGTACATGTATGGCTTATTTAACAGGGTCACAATACTAATACAGTGTCAGTGCTTCAGCATGACTGAACTACTCAAGAACTCATTAGGGTTATAAGCAACAGTAAATACTGAAATGAAAGGGACATCAAAATAATGACAATACAACAGCATGGGGTATGGCAATATCATAGACAAATTTAAATTAATCAGAAAGAATGCCATATAAGTTACTTTCCATTTCTATCCCACAGAGCAATGCCACATGTCATACATGGGGAGGTTAATTGAATAGCTGAGGTCTTTGAAATGCAACAGACCCTAGATGATACATCCAGGCCCCTTGATGTGGTGTCCACTTGATAGATGACCCCCAGTTGGAAGTCTGATATTCCTATTCCATTTGTGGTTTGTCATGGCCAATTCATGAACCATCTGTTGGTCTGGGGTATTCTCAGGAATGTGATTTATTTTAAATGGGTTTTAAAGTTGTTTTTTTACAGTGTCATTTCACAAAGGAGAGATCAAGTTACTGTCTGCATTAGTGAAATATAGCAAGCATTTGAACTCTGTTAAAACTAATTTCTAATAGCTACTTCAAGATTTGACAAAGTGAAGTATTTATCAAAAGCCCACGATGAAGGTTATGCTGCACTAATGTTACGAAATATAAACAAAAGTCAAGAGAAATCATATGAACTGAACATCAAATGTTTTACTCTGACCCCTGCACAATTTGTTTCTATAAGTTGCAACACGTTTTGCACTTGTGAAACAAAGTTAGTTATAAAGCTTATTTCACGGACTTTTCATGTTTGCATCTCTATCAAAAAGCGAAGGCTCTCTAAAATATATCCCAAAGCTTCACCAGAATTCTCCATTTCGCGGTTCGCTCTTTGAATCAGAACGTTCGCAAATATGTTCTGAAAAAGCACTCAAAAAGGACAAAATTTGATTGGTCAATATTTTCCCACTATGCATTTCGCGTAGCTATTTGTGTGACCCGAAAGTTCTAAATCAAACTAATTACGCAATTTTGTTTTACACCTGCACGCTAAATAAAACAATGACACCATCGGAAGTATTCTTCTTTGTCATTGCTTTAATAGTCAGTATACCGAGTTTAATCAATAAAAGATTGTACAATGAACAACAAAATTCGGAAACGAGTACTAGATTTGCTTTCGGACCACTGAACAGATTGACCTAGATAATAGCGACGCGTCTTCTTTGGTCTACTGCTCGGTTGTTTGTGGGTTTTCAACGTAACTCTATAATGTAATTTGAAGATGAATACTTTTATTCAGTGGTTGCATCGATGTTGCAGTTTGTAGTGCGGTAAGATTGGCATGAAAGTATTGAAAGTCGAATGGAATTGTTTCTTCCAATATGGCGACTAGTCTACTGATCACGTGACCTTCTCTTCCGGAATATTTTCTCACTTTCCAATCATCGTTTTCACCACGCTATGAATTAATACAATGAAAAAAATAGCTGTTATATTAAGATTAATGAGAGATCAATCGTTTCTAATAATTTTTTCTGTACTCTCGTACGGGAATATGAACGAATATATCGTTTGAAAAATAGGTGTGAAAATCCCCATGTTAAACCTATGAGGGAAAACAAGGAAGTATAAATTTGTTCCTCCGCAAACTGCATCATGGGAAATATTTTGACCTTATAAGGAAAGATTTTCGCGTCTCCTCTTTTGGAGAGGGAACAACGATTTCGACAATTATTCAGTATACACATATCTGAATACTAAAGATGTTATATATTTATAGGTGATGCACTTAAGTCTTAATTAGAAGCCTGGAAAGGTAAGGAGATGTGTATAAAGATTAATTATAATCTTTGAACCATTTTATCATTCTCCGAGTCATCACTTACCTTTTCCTCCATTTCCGAGTCAGCACTGATATAATGTTTCTCTGCGTATCTTAGCAACTGAGACATTTGTGTTTGCTCTAAATGGAACTTCATCAGATCCTGGAATATCAAAATACAATATTAAAAATATTTATGCCTTGAAAAAGTGTATTATCATAATCCTCATGATTTATCAATGATTCACCCACTGTTAGGCAAAGTGTGTCCAGTTCCAACCAATCCAAACACAGTATTTCATATAACTGCAGTGCATTATATCACCATTCAACACATACACCGTCATTCCTTTATGTAGTTGTCAAGGTGATAACTTGACTCTACAGATTGAAATTGATCTCGTGCAAAATTTAGAAAGCAAAAACTTCAAGGAATGGTCATTCCACTTAGCGGTGAGTCCATGGCTTAAATCCTTAAATTAACAATGGAAACTACCTCAGAAATTACACAATAGATGATACCTATCTGAAGGTAAAAAAAATGATTCTTTGATTCTTCTGCATAGATTTACATAGATCATTTTATGAAAAAATAAATTTAAGTACCTGTCTGGGTGTAAAATGTGTCTCTGAAATGCTCTCCTGTGTGAGGTAGTATATCTTGTTGCGGAACTGGGTGTCATCATCGGGCTTGAGGAGAAGGAATGATGCAACAGCCTGTGCAGCTTTCTCAATATTACCCACTGGAAAGAGAAAGTTATTAACAAGAAAATGGCAACTCTTAGGAGTAGCATATCCCAATGAACAAATAATATCAAATGATATTTCAAAATGATATCTTATTTTTAAAGTAGTTCATGAATATTTCAAAGATGAAAGAAGATATCCTGTTATGTACAATACTTTTCATAAATTCATGAATATTTCAAAGATGAAAGACTATGTGTTGTGATGTACAATACTTTTCATTCATTTGACATAGAGATATCTTTGCATTTGTTTGTACTGTAGGAAGAGTATATCTGAATATGAGTGAACTCTTTTTGTTAGTAGATTTCTTGTTGTTACTAGGTACTCTTATTATCAGTCAATGTGAACAATTTAGGAAACCAGGAGGTCACTTTGCCAGTTTTTATTGTATATCTAATATTTGTGAAAACAATTAAAAAATACCTCACTATGAAAAGCAATTAATTTTACAATACCTGGAATTTAAATGAATCAATTTTTATTATTTTTACAAAGAAAACTTAATTGATTTTGCTAGCATTATTATTTCATGAAAATGATGATAATTGAGCATGAATATTGGATTTTGCCCAAGGCAGATTTAATTCAGTTAAGTTATTTATCCTATGATTATATCTTTGATACAAAAAGATGAACTTTTTCTTAACATTTTCCTTTCTCTTGTGTACTGAACTATGCTACATTGCTGATATTGAAATTATATGTCACTATGTTTAATTCAATATCAATTTCAATTTTTGGAAATTCAAGATGAAACTTGGAATGTTTTTCATTCAAATAAATCAAAAGGGATATAAAAAATTTGAAATGTGCTGCTTAAAAGGGGGAAAAAATCTGAGAATACTGAAGGAAAAGTCAGTTGCTTTTCAAGATGTTATTGATGAAGGAATGACAAAGACAGGCAGGTCATCAAGGATTTACAGAAATGGTCAGAGGCACAAAGTTTTGTAGCACTTTCAATAAATAAACGCAGGTCAAAAAGGTACCTTTAAAATGATTTTCTCTGAATCCTCATAAGTGTGCCAAACTTTAACCCTCTAATTAACTAATTTCATAGTTTTGATATTAGAAGATCTTAATAATCTCAATCATAGGTTTCATGAAGTTTGAATGTGAAATGAATGTTGTTATGTTGAGCTAAGCAGATGTACTGAGACGAACCTTTGTAATAGGCAAACTGCAAATAGTGGAAATGGTCTGCTAGGTAGTGTTTGTTGGGTTTACCATACACCCTTCCCATCTTGACTGGACAGTTCATCTTACACTTCAATACACTGATGTAGTGGTCTGAAAAGGAGAGAGAAATATTTGTTAACTGCAGATCGATTTGTATTTCAGGAGATTTTGTATTTCAGGAGGTTTTGTAGTGTTGAAGTTGCCAATTGTGTTGGGAAATGTAAGGATAAATCTTGTCCAAGCCTATTATAAGATATAGGATTTATCCCATCGGATTACAAGCCTACTGGTATGAGGTGATTAAACAGAATACATTATATAACATACTTTCCAAATATTTTGACTTGAAAATAATGACTGATAAACAATATTTTGTTGATGTCATACATTCATGCCTCTGATTAATTGTACTTTTACTGATATCAAGCAAATTATAATGCGCTTCTCTTTAATATCTAAAATATCAGTGGCTGTTATCATATAGCCAACATAACATACAAGCGGGATTCTGAGCTTTAAAGAAGAAAGAAGATGACACTCAATATTGTCCATATTAAACAAAAAGAAGGACTCTATTTAATTTTTAGAGAAGAAATGAGAAATATGATGACTGATGTGACTGATTTTTCTCAAATGTATCTTCTACCTGATATAGCATTGTAGAATTCTGGGAATGATTCATGGTCATATTTTTCTTCACACAGAGCAGCACATTGCTCATGTTCCTTGTAATAATTTTGTAGAGCCTTTTCCATATTTTCTAGCACCATCAGCCATTCGTCTTTCTTGTAGTGATCAAGGGCTTGTAAGTAATATGCCTAGAAATAAATGGCACCAGTTAAGCTATGAGGTACAGAAAGGTACATTGTTAATGACCTTTGTAAAACAAATTGTTAATGACCTTTGTAAAACAAATGTTCAGCATCGTCCTCAAATATAAAATGAGATCAAGGTCACATTCACTACACAATCTAAATCAAAATACCCAAGACAACATTATACAGGCAACAATACCTTTAGGTACTAGATATAGGTCAGAAAACCCTGTACTCCACTATGCAGGTCACAGTAGCCAGAGTAACACTATCAAGGTCACTTGCACCCTGGGCTAAAAATATTGGTTAATGTTCCCTTGGTCACTAGATCCAAGTTACCTTACCCTGGGCTAAATGATCAAGGTCACATTACCATGGGCTACAAGATCCAGGTCACTATATCCAAATTTAATGATCCAGGTCATAATTCCCTGGGCCACATTCTCTAGGTCATAGTACCCTGAATTTCAAGATTGATGCACCATACCCTGAGCTACAAGAACTAAATCATGATACCCTGGGCTACATGATCGATCCAGGTCACCATACCTTGGGTTAAATGATCCAGGGAATAATACCCCCCCGGCTACAGGTTTGATTCAGGTCATCTTACTCTGGACTCTAAAATTAAGGTTGATGTTCCCTTGATGGTCACTACCCTGAGCAAAATGATCCAGGTCACAATACCCTGGGTAACATTCTCCAGGTCATGGTACCCTAAGCTTCAAGACCAAGGTCACCATATCCTGAGCTAGAAGATCTAGGTCACAATACCCTGGACTATATGATTGATCCAGGTCACCTTACCGTGGGTCAAAAAATCAAGGTCAAAATACCCTGGGCTACAAGATCCAGGTCACAATACCCTGGGTTAAATGATCCAGGTCATAATACCCTGGGCTACACAATCAATCTAGGTCACCTTACCCTGGTCTACAAAATCAAAGTCACAATACCCTGCGCCTACAAGATCCAGGTCACGAACCCCTGGGCTACAAAATCAAGGTCACAAAACCCTGGCCAAAAGATCCAGATCCAGATCCAGATCTTTTACCTTTTATCCCTTGACCCCTCCATCCACACATATAAGCATTTATCCCATACTTGGTGGTGTTACGGGTACATAAAGCCCGTTTGTAAAAACTTATATTTTCATCAGCGGGCAGATATAGCTTTACCTCCCGCTCCGAGCGGGCAGATATAGTATATCTGCCCGCTACGTCATAATCGCTGTTCCCGTATTGGTTCTTTTTTGTAACGTTCGCATACTGTAAACGACAATGGAGAAAAACGCAGACAATCGCGGTCTGTTTGATGCTTTAAAAAAGGGAAGGAACAGTAATTGCCCTGTTGATAATCAAAGATTTGAACAGGAAAATCCGGCTTCGGACAAGAATACAAAACTGGACATGAATCTTTCAAAATAATTCCACGGTTGGTTGCAAAGTTTCGAACAATGTGATTGGTATGGGATAAACAGATCATCCTATAGTCGGTTCAGGATATTGGGATTATCCCTTGGCCAATATAATATATCTACCCTCGGGACCTACGGCCCTCGGGCAGATATATTATATTGACCTCGGGATAATCCCAATATCCTGAACCGACTATAGGATAATCTCTATATTCAGAATGGAGAATTGGAATATTCAACACATGATTACAAATCATTTGACTGTTTAAAGTCTTTTAAATAATCAATTTAGAATGACATGATGCAGGTATACTATGTTGGGCATCCAAACTTCCTGGTTGATGGTGATCTCATAAAACTACAAACAGTTAAAGAACATCTGACAAAGCATAGATACAGCCTTGGAGAAGATTCTCTACACACGAGTTGAATGTGGTTGGCTTATATAGCATGAATATCTAAAGGAACAAGGGGCAGAGAATACAAGTAAGTTTGTATTACAGTATACATAAGCAAACTTAATTTAGAAAATATACCAAGAAATATCATTGCAAAAAAATTGTACTGTAGTAAGCAGGTCATTTAATGTTGCACCATTCTGTAATGAAATGGTTTATCTGACAATTTAGGATGTTTTTATACTTTTAAAAGGTATCTACTTGTTAATTTCTCTATTCTAGCATCTCGTTGTGATAAGGTTATTTCAAATGACGAAACTTCTATATGAACCATTTTATTACAGGAAGTAAGAGACAACTCGATCGATGCTTAGGATCCCGTATCAACAGGGCAGCTAAATAATTGTAGGTAGCAAGGTGGCACATTTCAAAAGTTGGAATAAAACATTACACCAGATACACAGAACTTGACATCTAATCATCTGAACTTAGACATTTGATCATCTGAACTTGACATCAGATTTACCAAAGGGACTTTTGGATAGATCTTAAAAATAGAATAATGGGTATCTCCAAGACACTAGTGTTTATTGTTAGATTTTCCTTGCTGTTTAACATATCTCTTCACCAACATCATGCAGAGGCATTAAGTGACGGAAATGACAATAGACAGAATATGTCATGTGACTTGGACAGCAAAACTGGCATTTATGTGACAGGATTCATTACTGTCATCATTGCCGTAGCAACATTGATAATCTACAAAAACAGGTATCTCCTCAGATATTGGTTCTTGATTGCTCAACTAAGATGGGAGCAGAATATGAATAATACTTGCAAATATGAGTATGATGCATTTGTGGCGTATAGTTCCACGAATAGGGATTAGGCCCAAAGAAAATAAGGACTTGGTGGTTGGGGAATAGCAAGATATGATTCTTGGAAACACTTTCAGATGCCAACTGTCTCAGAGAAAGCATTCCAAAAGTTAAGAATGTATTCCAGGGAATGTATTTCACAACTTAAGTCAAAGACTGAGTGACTCCTACAAAATATAATCTGCTGGGTACAAATATGGTATCTAGATTAATTGAAACAATGGTTGCTTGAATGTTCCAAATAGAAAGACACCAAAATGAAGACAATATTCCACTTACAAATAAAATTTTGAAGATTTCCTGACAAAATTATTTCCTCTAAAAAACAACCCACCATATTACTTCCTGTCACACTACACCAAAGGCTATTTTAGTCCAATCATTGGAACTTCTTGGTAAGAAATTAACAATGATTTCCTAGATCGAGACCACACAATCCTTTATTGACCAAATCAAGGAAATCCTCCGTTGTCATTGAAGGACTGATGGAACTCACCCTAGGCAAGAACTAGACTTCATCTACTCTTTAAACTAGAGATGATTTCTTAATCAAGCTTAATTGGAAAATTCATCACATTGTATACCAAGAAAAGACTAATGTACAATACATATTCTTACATGTCAATGCTGATTTAGTTAATGAGAGGTTGATGTTTTTCCTGCATCATAACTGTAGCACAACTTTACTTGTCAGAGGGTGGTCACTTAGCTCTAGGAAAATCTTTGTAGTTCAACCAGTCCAAGTAGGTTTTCAATTTACGATTACATGATTTACAATTACGATATACAGTAAAACCTGTCTCAAAGTGGCATTTGGTACCTCTAAAAAGTGTTCCACTTGGGAGGTGTTCTACTTATAGAGGTTCATTCATTCATTAAAGCAGTTGGTGTTGGAACTCTAAAAAGTATCCTTACAGAAGTGTTCCACTTCTAAAAGTTTTCCACTCTACATATTGCACTGTATTCCTAAGAGGGTGATGTACCTATGCAATGGGGATACAGGGTATATCTTTGATGCAATAATAAATGTATAGTTTACGAAATTCCAAAACTAAATCACACTGATGACTCAATGAAAAAATGATCTTTGAAGAAAATGGCCAATTATCATTTTGAGATTTATTAGTTTGAAATAGAGAATTTGGTCATGACAACCTTATACGTATAATAGGAAATCATGAACAAAGTTTGATGATTCACAGTTAAAGAAAATCATCAGGGGAATTTTAATATCATACCACTTATATTTAAAACAAGTTAACAGTACACATATACATGTGTATGATTGGCTGATCTAATATTTGTCATGCACCTTATCTGTTTTGTTTCATTTTTCTTCATTAAAAACCATCATTTAACGGAATTCCAGTAAAAGTATTCATAGTCATTTTAGGTGGGAAAACCTACAATGACAACACTGAGGATCAGGTGACTAGTAAATTGTATATGATATGATTGTAAAATTGTTTGAGTTGTATTTTATGAGAAATGAATTGCTGATAGATTGATACTTGAGAAGTTGAAATAAACATGAGAAGTACTTCGAGTATACTAAACTATCAAGTGTAGGTTATCTTTCTCAAGATAGTTCAATCAAAACACTGAAATGCTGGGATTTATTCAGATTTATTTAATTTATAATTCTTACCCTAAATATATTACAGTGTGGGGGTAGGCATAAATTCTCTGAAATCTAAATAAAATTTATTTTTAAGGAAATCCATGGAAAATTGTGGAAGGTGCTGATTTTCAAAAAAATGACTATTTGGGAATCCCAAAATATATTTACAATATTCATGAAGGTGATAGTACCCCTAAGCCCTTAGGCCTCAGTCAGGCACCTTCTCACAACATTCCAATTGACACCTACAGATATATGCATATACTCCAAGTAAAACCCCAGGTTTATACCCTATTTCCTACCCCCAGTCCCCAATCTCTCTGCTACAAACCTGGTATGTTTTAAGCTCTATATCTTTGAACCAATCCAGCTTGACACCAGGCATCTTTCTGTAATATTCAATGTTGCGTCGCATAGGCTCATGCTCTGGGTTACCAAGTAGGAAGGTATAGGCTGTTGCTATGGCTTGCTCTAGGTTGTCAATCTACAAAGACAGATTCAAATGTTTTACTTTATTACAAAGAATATAACTAATTTTACGTTATATTTCAAATAAGAATTTTTGGCAATATTGTAATGTTTATTGATTGATCTCTTTCACCCCTGCCTGAAACACCTTTGAAAGCAAACACCCCTTAACATCATCCTCGAGAACGCAAAATTATTATTCCAATCAGCCCAAGGTCTGCATTTGGGACCTTTTTGGCGGAGGAAACTGAAATGTAAGGGTTCATTTGTATTTGACACAGAACCATACTTCTCGAAAAGCTGATGGGGTATGTCTTGAAACTCAATGCACAATTTTACGCAAAAATATTCATAGGGGAGACATAAGCTTTGATGTCTCTGGCTACAGCAATGTTTGGTCTAAAAGTCAAAATCCACTTGAGATTTAATAAACAGGAACTATTATATGAATGTAAAAACTCTCTTGGCAGCAAGGAAGTGATGGAAGATTGGCACTTATTAGTAGTCTACCTTTTACAAAAGTCTGATGTCTAGAGATTTTAGGATGGTACCTAAATGTTTACAGTTGTGAATGGACTAAAATAAATTGCAAGCCCCTCTCCTGTATAACAAAATTTGAATTTCACTTGAATCTTTTTAAAAATCAATATCCCTCACTTATGGAATCGTGATTTAACTCTCCACCCTTCCCCTTTAGGAAAAAATCAACTTCAGTAATCTTCAACTGTTGATGTTTGGATAGTGCCCTTTGCATTTGTTCACCTTCACCTCTTAAAAGAGAGCTTCTAGTTTATAACTAGACTCTGTGTACAATAGCATTTGGGTAGCAGTTAATTCATCTAGGGTATTCAGAGAGTAGAATGGTACTTATCATGGCCTCTTGGTTCAGACTCAGAATAGCAAAACTCCAAGACAACAAGTACTATAATAGCATATGTCCTGGATTGACTAAAATACTGGATTATTTACACATAAATCATATATTACACTTTGGGAAGTAGTTTTTTAAAGGCATCACCATGAGATTTTTACCTTTTTTCTTTCTCTATCCCATACAATTTTTTCTCTTCAAAATTCAGACATTATTGTGAAAGGTAAGATCCTGGCATCTAATAGACTACATGAATATTGATCATAGAATATAAATGATGAGATTATGGATGAGAATGATGAGAATGATGACAATATTTGAGACATACTTGTAATGAATCTATAATATTTTTGACATCTGCATATCATCATAAGAGTAAGAAAAAATGGTTTACATTTCTTAAATTATGGCAAGATAAACTAAAATCATAAAATAAATAAACTCAATTACTTCAGAAAATTGAAATGTGACATGATAAGTCAGACAAAACAGAGCAACAACCCACAGAGCAGAAACTGAAATGAAACTCATTGGACTAATTATGAATTCTATCTTCATGGAATCATATGACACATTGGAAGTGGTTATTATTTTTTTAGAATATTGTGTGGTCTGCCAATATGAAAGCTAAGACACGCAAGTTGAAGAACTGTTTAGGAAGTTAATGAAAACTTTCTAGGATGACATCTTCTTCCTTGCACTGATGAATACAGTCTGGTGCATACAGCAAGAAATGTTCCAACTTGAGGTAATACTTCATTAAATTATATGACAAAACCATGTTATTTGAGCTGTGTACCTGACTGTATATATTCACTAGACTTGTAGTAAGTCCCCCCCCCCCTTCCTTACTCTTTATTTTTAGTGTGAGGAAATTAAGTGCAAAGGAGATTTCAGGACTGCACTGAAATTGAATATAACAATAGACTTCATGGCTGTTGTATAAACAACATTTACCTGGCAAAAATTATGAAGCCATATTTTTTATTTTCAGAAACAACTATGGCATGTTTAACAAATATGACTTCACATGCAAACAGCCCAAAATATGTGAATACATAAAATAGAAAATATACAATTAAAAAACTGAAACCATATTCCATAACCAAACGAGAAAACAACAGTGATTTCCCCAGGATTCTAAAGCACCCTGTTCAAAATTTGAAAATTACACACCACCCTGCTGAAAATCTTTTCACCCTGCCAAATTGGTGAAATAAGCAGGGTTTTTAAAAAACAGATGAAATAAGGATGTAACATGAGACAAATTCTTTGGAAATTGCTGATATAACATAAAATTGCAACTTACTATTTCTGCTTTTACTTCATCTTTATCTGGCCCAATTATCGGTCCAACAATTTCAAAAGTTATCATGCAATTTAACGTCATAATCATCATCACTGTTGCACCCCATATAAATAATTGTGATTCCATTTTATCCAAATTTGTCCAAACGTAACGCTGTTCCTTGTTCCAACTCAGGTATGGGAATGATACAATTTAATATCACAAAGCTTTTAATGCATAATCAAACCAAATTTAGGCAATAAAATTAAAAGTCTACATGCTTTCAAACACGTTCTTTAAAAAAGGACAAGAAAATGAACTATTTTGTTTTTACCAGAGTTTTCAATGAGTATTACACATGAATTACACAACCAATGTCTACAATTAAAAATCAATGGCCTAAATTTTGAATTTCATATTTTTCATACTCAGGGGCATAACCTAATAACAGTATTTAACTGTTATTGATGATGCAAATTAAACAACTGAGCAGTTAGATGATATTGCCAAAGGCTTTATTCTCATAAAACTAATTTGTAAACATGATATTTGGCAAGCAATACCTTTTTTGAATTAAAACTATGAATACTTTTTTATGGTTCGTTCTTCATTTCTTCAATAATCTTTTACAAAATACAAGTAAGATTTAGATAAAATTACTTTCTTGGCCTGCTAACATACCTATGCCTCGGTCATGTTTGATCTATGACAAGCATACAGCTATCCAAAATCGAGAGAAATATGCGGCAGTACAAAGTAATTTTCTATCTCGATTTTGTGAATCTATAACCATAGTGCAAATGTGACTGAGCCTTTAGAAGACTACATCATGAATTTGACTATATACAGTTAAGAGGAGGGAAAACCCCATGATTCAATTGACGACATACGATTTCCTCCTTCGCGCACCTCCTTTACCGGAAGTACGTATATTTATACTTCCCTCCATCTTGGTTTTCAAAGTTTTCAAATTGACCTCGTTTTAAACCAATCATCAATCGACTCGCTAAACCAATCAGCGACGATGTCATCTCAATACAGATTTACATTATAAGCGTATGTCATCTTTGAACCCTGGGGTTTCTCCCCCTCTTTATACAGTTTATATTATTTTGGATGGAAAATGTTGGCAATACATAGTACTTTAAATGACATCTTGCTTACATGAATATACCTCACCTATATAGGCTTTTCAGAATTAAGAAAAGCTGCAGAAAGCTAGCAATGTTCAAATGAATGGTACTAAGTTTTTTCTTGATATGAGTATAACGAACATTCACACCGATAAGCCAATATGAATTAGTGTTGTCGCGATTAATCGATACATCGCGATATACATCGCCAAAGCTGATTCTGGCGATGCATCGATGTCTGAAACAAAACATCGATGTTTTTAAAAAAAAATTAATTTGCTAAAAATCACCCTTTCTTATCTTATTTTAACGCAAATCGCTTACCTTTCTCATGTCTAATTTCATTTTCCAATGTTTTCTGATATTCTTTCGCTTTTAAACTTCTTTAGCTAGTCGAAATGAACCATTAATCTAAAAAAATTACTTTACTTTCACTTCACCGTCACTAGAAGTTCCCGGATGTACCAGCATACTCTTACTAATTTGTTCTGTTCGGTATTTTAGTGCATTAGCGTTCGGTATTTCAGTGCACTTTTCTCGGACTTTTTCTCGATGTACATCGCGATGTGCATCGATGTTTACTACTGAAAATTGCCGATGCATCGATGTACGATTATGGCACATCGCGACAACACTAATATGAATGTGCTATAGCGGAAAAAATCTTGTGCTGGCTTTTGAGTATTACAGAAACATGAGAATAAAACAGATTGTTCACTGTTCCTTTTTATCTTTGTGCCAGTTCATATCAAGGAAAATGTCTCGAAATTATAATTCAATTTCCAAACTCACCAAAAGACATGTGGAAGAATGTTTAAATGTGTTTCAAAAACTTAGGACCTATAAATATTAATTTAAGAAACAAATTGGGATTGAAATCCCTAACTTGCTTTACTTCTTAAATCAAAATAGAGCTTTATAGCAACTTTCATGGGTATTATAAGCTGAGACTTCTTACTTATTTTGATCAATTCTTTTGTTGAAGAGGGAGCTGGGGTCGAGCTGACTTTCTCCTAATATTTATTACGCTAGGAGTTACAAGAGTGACCTAACCTTGCCTTATTCTTGGCTAGAGACTTTAGTAAACCTAACCTATTGCCTAGTTTGATGATAACTGCCAAATTCGAGAGTTTTCTACTACCAAGACAATACTGCACTAGGACTAAAGCGCCATATATTCAGAGACACTCTCTACCTCAGTCAAGAACTGAGTGAAGACTATGTCTCTGAATATCCAAATGCGTTAATTTGACTTTCTCTATTTTTGAAACTCAACAAAATGACACAGTGAAAGAATGTTCCATTCCTGAACAGAGAGATATTTATCCGGTGCCAGGACTATAGTCCTGAGAATGTCTCAATCTTTTGCCTGTACGATTACAACATGGGAGAATTTTCTACGCCTCTTACACTTAAGATACCTACTTCAATAGATTCCTGGGTATTTTAGCATTCTTTTCGTGTCGATGAATCTACAATTATCTGGGTAAATTGGCAGAACGGGAACATTTTTCTTTTTCATCGAGAGAGATTCCATCACTTCTCAAGATGGCGGTTGGATTTAAAAGGGGATTCCCTATTTGAAGTACCAATAAATGGAGGAATTTGTCGGTTGAAATAACTTAAATATTACACGCAAATATTGCGATCAAAAATGAAAATTTCTTCATTCTGCCGATAAACCCAGACAATTGTGGATTCAACTACATGAAAAGAATGCTAAAATACCCAGGAATCTATTGAAGTAGGTATCTTAAGTGTAAGAAGCATAGAAAATTCTCCCATGTTGTAATCGCACAGGCAAAAGATTGAGACCTTCTCAGGACTATAGTCCTGGCACGGGATAAAGAGATATGTCTTGAAACTCGATAATCATCTCCAAAGTAAGCCATTAATGTAGGTACGTTGGATATTAAAGAATATACCGAGGCCCTGAGCAAGGGAGGATTCAAGGTTGTCAAATGTGAGTTCCCCTGGAATTTTTTTAAAAAGTAAACCTCTCCTGGCAAAAGCTGGCTGCGGGCCAGGTACATATAGCCTCGCTGAAACCCCATTTTTAGGCTAGAAGTAGGCAATCTACCCAAAGTTAGTGATGAGATACATTACCTTGTAATAGCAAAGCTGGAGGTAGTCATATGGTTTTAATGATTCAAATGCCTCTTCAACTTCTTTGGAAGCCGTGCCATCGGGACGTTCTTCGAAGACACGCTTCTTACATCGACGTACACAATCTGACACCCTAAGAGCGTAGTCAAAAAATGCAAGCTCTACGTTCACAACCTTTTCAAGTGGAAGAAAATGTTTAGTTTGGCAGTCAACTCTGCATGTTATGAGATTCGTTTGATAAAATTTGTGGTCTTCCAAAGCTCGAAGAAAGTTGGTGATACAATCGTACCATTTTTCCTTGGTGTATGCTGCTGTCCCTGCAGAATACCATTGATCATAGGTCATCAACGGGTCCTCTGGGATCGCATGTACGTGAATTACCTGAAAAACTAGTGCTAGAGTCAGATAAATGCTCATCTTTCTACTGCAAACGTGGCAAATTTGTAATAAATAGGTGTCCGTGTGTGCTGCCATGTTTTGGTGGTTTTGCACTGATTGACCCGTTTTGACCTCTGCACTTCGCAAGCTTTTTGGACCTCCAACAAGCTAAACAGCTACTCAAACCTGGTCACAATTGTATGTACAATACAAATATTTGTTTACTTCCACAATTATCATATATCATAACTCAAATATGTCATTATCGTAAAAAGAAAAGTTGACTAATGGAAAAGAAAACTTGAAGTACTTCCGGGTAAAACCGAAATATGTACAATGTATATTTGATTTTCTCGATTACGACTGTAATTCACTTTTCCAAAATAAGCCATACAAATACACCAAACTGAAGTGTAAGTTAAAGAAGACACAATTTAGGGTAATTAAGTGTCAGGTGCGCATTGATCATAATTAGTGTGGCTTACTTTCTTTGATTGCAGTTTGGTATCTTGGAGTTAATAAAGCTGTGGAGCTTTTGAGTCACAAACCAATTAACTCAAAATACCACGTGACCTCTAATGTTGATCATTGAGAAAAGTAAAGTTTGAGAAGGAAGCACACAAACTTTTTAGCTCATGGAAATAACTCGGATTTATACATTAATATGACGCTAGGATAGTGGATAACATTATAAAAGTTTAGTTTAATATTTTAGTAACATATACAATAGGAATTTGCAACCATGACTTGGTTAATTATCGGAATATACGTAGCTTTGCTGAGTATGATAGTGGATTGTGTAGTTGTCACTGCAAACTTGCCACCAGTTCACTGGAATTCCACAAACCCAATGTAAGTAAACTTTAAATTGTTCAATGGTTTTCATATTATTTTTTGTTTCATCAGATTCCTAATGAAACATTCTATAAGTCACAATCAAAGACAAGTAATGTGTACAAGAGCATGTTTCTTGCTCCAAGAGCTTTTCTTGGTGTCACTTTTCCATCAGAATTGGAAGAATCTTAGGTGATGGAATTGCTTCATGATGATTACAATTATCATGTATCAATTTTTTATATGAAAATAATCATTAATAAAGAGTAAAGAATTTTGAAAAATTATTGTCATCTAAAGACCCCAGTTCATGATTGAAATTTCAAGAGAAAAACCTAATGTTCAACCAATATTCTATTAGTGGATTCTTGATTATTACTGTGGTACCTATTTTATTAGTTACCTAGGTAAGTGTTGAGTTAAGATTTATATTTAATTATTTCATAAAACAATTTTGTATTATAAAAAATCACATATTACCCAAGCTGTGATCATAGGTTCAATAATTCCTCAAAATATATTTCAAACAAATAAAGTGACATTCACCAAAATAATATGTAAAAACCAAAAAATAGCAATATGACTCTAAGGCATGGTCTTTGTACTGTATTAAATTTGTTAAGACCTGAGCAGGTGTTGCTGTTTGGTATCACAGGTACTAGACTAATTTCCGTACATCAAATCTCCGCTTCACAGCGCCTCACTGTAGGGACATGTCACTGAAATTCTTCTTGTACTGTGTTTTAAATAGCCAGTGTATGAATGAAATCTGACCAGCATAGTTTAGCATTCACAGCACGCATACTGAGAGGTATCAATTGTCTATATGGAAATTTTGACCCAATTTTTGGTTAATTTTACTAATTTGGTCATTTGTTCTCAATATATGCAATATCAGATTTGAAGTTTTGCTCGGATGAAATGTCTATACATAAATATCTTATATTCAATGATAATGGTGCAATATTTCAAGCTCATTGAATCTTGTATTGGATGGTATTTTGTCATTTGTACGATTACATAAATCATTTTTGTTATGTATTATTCTATTTGACATGCAATGATGAAAACCTGTGTAATAGTTTGTAACTTTGTTTGGGCCTTTTGATTGTAGCCTATTCAGCAGATTATACCTAATTTTGTCAATGTTTTACATTTCACCATGGGAATTACACTTGTCATTCTTATTTATTACACATGTAATACTTAGTGTCAAACTTCTGCCAAACATCTACGTATAATTATAACATTCTTTGGAGGCCATCAGATAAATAATGAATTTTACTAAAATTTATTTTAATTAAAATGTTAGAATACATTATAACAAAGTATAGTTCACAAATATTCTTGATGAAATATGTTTAATACAAAATACGACAAGTTTATCAATTCAGGCTGATTTGTTGTATTATAGTATACAGAGTTTGAAATGATATATAAATATTCAATATTTAACTAAAACAAAATCAGTTGAATTTATAGTCAATTATTGTGTGTTTATTAAAAATAGCTGGTGTTTCACTAAATTGATTGAAATTCTGCCTTTGAATTATATATTCAATATTTTATATTTGATGAAGTAATAGTTAAGAAATTTAATTTGGATTTGCTGCATATGAAAACAATAAGCATAGCTTTATGCCTGGGGCTTGCAGTATTGAGAAGATTAACGAAGCTAAATAAATACATTTCTTGGCATATTTCATCCTATTTTGAGCGACCCAGCGAAATAGGCCGCAAATCTGTTAAATAAATTTGCTCAAGCCACAGATTTTGCCCATATTTTTACTATACTGTTGTATCATAGAAACTGATTTTGAACTTTGACATGGTCAGAATTTTTGTCAGGTGACATATTTCTTTGTGATCTGAAATGTGAGAAAACGGTCTTTGTCAGTCAGATATTTAGCGGCCACTTTCGGTCACAGGAACCATATCCGTATTATAATAACAATGAAATTAGATTTTGTTGAGCTATGGATAATCCCATATTTTGAATACACTCAGTTCTATGCTCACTTATAGGATAAACTCTGGTAGGGTTTTAAGAAATCTAACCCAATTTGAGAGACATTTCACTTAACAATGGAAACCTAGTCGTGTTAATATTTCCTGTAATAACCAACCGATTTGGACTGACTTTCCGTCAATAACAAGAAAAAATTACGGAATCCAACACGTGCAATGTACCAGCGGCATATTTCAATGAATTTATATTAATGACTATGATATCCTGTGTTATTTTAAAATTATTATTAAAATCTAGTGTTGAATAATAAATCTTTAACTTTGATTAAAATTGCGACACTTCAGTATTTATTTCCTGTCGGATTCGGCTCAATATGAGCTTAAACACTCGTTACCTAAAATTCAGACATATGAGACGTATTGAAGAAGCTTATCATTGACACAAAGTACTTTGAGAGTGATACATGTAAAGGTGAAACTAGCCAAATTATGCAACCTCACCCTCTTGAATCAGAAACTCTTAAAAGATTTGGCAGATTTTGACTACAAATTTAATTTCCTCCAGCCTCAAGAGCTTTTGTAAGGTGTGTGAAGTATAAGGTATACACACTGGCCTTCCCACAAATATAAAATCTAAATCACCAAGCTCATTTAGCCTTAAAACATTGAAATCCCTCGCCTTGAAAAACCAGATGGAAATTCAACATACTGTAATGCCATAAGTTTTACTAAGAAGTCCAAATTAATTGTCTTATAGGAAAAATTATTGGATTTTTGAATTTATTGAAATAATTCATCAGGGTAGATTGGGCCTGAGAGAAAGTGAATATACAAATGTATATTGACTATTTCTCCTAGTCGGCCTGGTCACCATTGTACCTTGGTACTAAGTCAGTCTCCAAACAAAGTTTGTATGCCGAGAATTGAGCCTTTCTCAACTAATATTTCCTTTCCCTCCCTTCTTATATTATGCCAAGAGAGTATTTCCATATTTTCAAAATATATTAATCTTCACTAAAATTAATAGGATGTATATTATTTATGAGGTAATTTCTAATATAAAATTATGAGATTTTTTGTAAGAGATTTTTATTAATGATTTTTGTAAGGGAATTTCCTTGAATGAAGCCATTTGAACATTCAGAAGCCAAACTTTGGATGTGTTTTCCAAAGAGCTTTATCAAGTTCTTTACATCCTTTCTATATGTCTGCTGTTTGTTTAGAATCGTGAATTTTATTACAATCCTTCAGCAAAACCAGGGGGTGATTCCTTAAAACAAATACAGATATTTCTTCCAAAAACAATTCAAATAGTGCAAGTAAAAAGTCATGGGATATCAATTTCCAATTTCCTTTACATATTTCTTTGTTTATATTCCAAAAACTCTATTTATGAATCATTATTTTTTATTGTCTTATTCCATGGGAAGTTGTTTGTAGTGAAAGGATGGTCAATGTGACTTTTCTATTTCTGGGGAAAACTTGGAAGATGTGTGTTCCTATATAGATCTAGTTACAATCTTCCACAGAATTGAGCTCTGTCCTTAAATGTCACACTGCTTAGTGTTAATTATAAAACTTTGCCAAAACCTCAAGTAAGGAAATCAAATGGATTTCCAAAACTTAAATTAATTAAGAATCACACCTCTGCTGAGCTAGCAAAGATAATATTTCTTTAACAGCATCTAGCTTCAAGGAAGACCTAGTTAGCTGTTGCTTTTATTTGTCAGAGAAGAAAGTTTCAAAGAGGATATAGACATCCTATCATCACTTGCTTATAACAACAACTTCAATCAAACTGAGCAATCAAAAGAATACTTCAATCAAGGTAATTAGAATGTTGATGATATCATTAAATAGAGGTTTGTTAATTATGTTAATTTTAGACAGTTTGTGTTGTCTTGTAAATATTTGTATCTGATGATGTAGAAATTGTTCATCTTTGATTGGTTGGTGAAAGAGGGAGTGGAGATGTTAGGAATCTATGTGTGAAGTACGAATAATCCAAAGTTAATATTGAATTTTAATTGATGCATCAATACTATAGATACCTAGGAGGTTACCATGGTAACCGACTCATTGATTTGATCCATTTATCTGTTTTAAACAAGTGAACTTTTGCAAAGGGCATGAACAATTTGTTTATATGTTATACAATCCAGTTATAAACACATAAATCAGGCACGACTTTAATAGGCCCCGGAATGATAAGAAAGCTTCTAAAGACATTAACTAGGACTTGTTCAATTATGTAGCACTTTGAAGCTGAAGTCTACTCATCTGTTGAAAAGTTTTATGAAGCCATTGGCAGAGTATTCCATCTGATAATAGATGACTCGTTTTCTAGTTGACTAAGTAGTTATGATATATCATATGTTTTACTACCAATATTCTTTCCTGTATTCTTTCATCTTGGGTTTGGTCAATTTTCGATATATCTAATTGCCTACTATATCAAACCTTTCGTCTGTGCCAGATCTCTTATACACATTTACTCATTGCTACATTCTGTACT